GCTCGGGGAAGTGGCGTGCGCGCGTTGGGCGCCAGCGCCTGCACGCCGCCGCTCCGCATGTCCAGCAGGAAGGTGTCGTGTGACTCCGCGTTCGAAATGCGTGAGACGCCGCCAAAGAGGCAGATGAGCGTGCCGCCCAGCGGTGTAAGTGTTGCGCCCCAGTAGTACAGCGGGGTGCGCAGCGTGATAGCGGTCCACTGCCGCGCCGCCACATCGAGGCGGTACACACAGCCGAAGTCCGGCGTCGGCTGCGTGTCCGCCGCATGGATGTTGTAGCCGCCCACAACGTACATGGCGTCACCGTGCACAGCGGCCGCGTGGTGAGAGCGGCAGCACGGCACACTCCCGCCGCAGCGCAGCGTTTCCCACCGCGGCGGTGAGACGGACATGTCCAACACATACAGCGGGCCGTCTGGCTCGAGGCGCTGTGGTATGAGCGGGCGCATCAACGACGGATCGCGCAGGCGGTCGCGGCCCGTCTGCTGCAGCGTCTCGCGGTCAAGCCCGTCAGCCGCCGTGAAGACGTTGTATGTGTTGTAGTGAATATCGTTAACCCCCACAGCTGTGATGCCGCCGAAGACGATGAGCCGCGAGCCGTGCAGACACGTGGAGTGGTACGCGCGCGGCAACGGCGCCACCCCGTCACACAGCATCTGCCGCCACTCGCAGGTCACTATGTTCAGCGAGAGCACAGACTCGTTAAGGTCGAAAGCGGCGGTTTTGCCGCCAATCGTCACGATCCACTCGCCATACAACGTGGCTGTGTGCCCCTCGAGACCAAATACCATGGATGAACGCTACACAGTGCAGGAAACGGGTTTAGAGAGCAAGAGAGAATGAAGACACAGCACCAATGGTAAAGAAAGCAATAGGATGGAAACATGAAGGTAAAAAATCTACTTTATGTAGATAGCACCGTTGTCATTGGCGTTGTTTTTTTGTTGTTGTTGTTGTTTTTTTTTTTTTTTNGGGGGGGGGTTCCCTTTCGTTTTTGGTTTGGGGCATGTATCCCTTGCCCGGCCAAGAAACTCCCGCACTGATGAACGAAGAGGCATGGGGGGTGGTGGTGAACGCCGCGTCACTCCTTCGGCGTGTACGCCTTCCACGGAGAGTTGCCGTCAATAATGCGGCGACTCGCGTTACCGTCCGTCTCGCGGTCAAACGTCTTCATGAAGCGCTCAAACTGCTCGTCGACGCGCTCGGCAGCCAGCTGCTGTGCGCCCCCTTGCCTGGCGTAATGCATCCTCGCCGTGTTCGGGTTGAGCGCCATCGGCGCGGCGCCCATCGCGCTGGCGCACACACGGTTAGTGTCCTCACTTCGAGCGTCAAAGTCATCGCGCAGGCGCCGCATCTCCTCCACACTCTTGCGTGACGCCCGCTCAAGCGACGCACTCTCCTGATGCAGTCCGCCCTCGTAGCCGAGGTCCATCTTGGACGGGTACCGCCCCGTCTCCTCCTCGACACGCTCAGCGTCCTTTGCGTAGCTCCGGTTCATGTCGCGGAAGAGCGTGTCCGCCTCCCGCAGCTTCGCGCTGCCATAGCTGTTCATCGCCACCGCAGTGTGGCCGCCCTCCTCGCTGAACACCTTCGCCTGCAGGTCATGGTTGTCCTGCCAGTCCACTGGGACGCCGTGCTCGTCAAAGCAGGTGCCGCGCACCAGCGCACCGTTCTCCCAGATGCCAGTGAAGAACAGGCGCGGCTCGTTCGCCAGGTATGTCTGCGTGCCCTCGCCGTGTGCACGGCCGTGTGCGTTGAATTCACCGTCGTATGTGTACGTCGGCGTGTAGAGCTGGCCACGACGAATGCAACCGTCGAAAAACTCGCCCACGTACACGAACCCGCCGTCCAGCTTCATCTTACAGTTGCTGCCCTGCAACTTGCCAGCGAAGAAAGTGCCCTCTTGCTCTGCACCGGTGGCGAACACCAACCTGCCACGGCCATGAGGTTTATTGTCGCAGAACTCGCCCTCGTACGTGAAGTCATGCTGCGTCAGCCTTCCCTTTACAAATGCCTCGTCCTTCAGCATCCCCTCAAACACCGTCTCCGTGGTGCCGTTCGGAATACGCACAGTGCCCTCTACCAGCTCATCTTCACAAAACCGCCCCTTGTAGTGTGTGCCATCCGCGAGCCACGCCTCACCATCGCCGTGGCGCTGCCACTGCGCGTTAAACTCGCCGCGGTAGAGGTCACCGTCGTCCTCGAGTTGGCTACCGCGCAGTGGAAAACCGTGCTGCTCGTCAAAGCGACCACGGTAGACACGGCCGTCGGGGAGTGTGGCTGTGCCTTCCACTAAGCAGTCCGGGCGGCGGGGGTTCAGCGTGCCATCCAACAGCAAGCCACTCGACAGCCGCGTCACGCCCAGTCGAAGGGCGCGCCTCATCANCATCGCACGCCCGCTACTATTCCCTTCATTGGTGTTGTTGTAAACATCATTACCATTAATGCAGCAGAAAAGTAAGATGCAGAAGTGTGGGCAGCAGCAGCAGCAGCAGCCTGATGATGAAGATGATGACTCTCACCATCATCATCATCATCACCACGGCGAAGAAGAAACGGAACATACAAATGTGCCCACGGAGAAGCACAAACACACCACGCTGAGAGAAGGCGCCACATCCGCAATGGGAAAGATGAATAGTTTTTTGAATGACGAAAAAGGAAAAGAAAAAGAAAAAAAAAAGAGTATTGCGCCCCAAAATTTGGTGGGGTGCCGCGCCCATATCCGCCTCCACAGAAGTACCGTTCCCCACGAACGCAAGCAGAAAGACGCATGCACAAAAAACGAGCCAACAACCACGTGCGTATCGGCAGAGGAAACAAAAGCGCACACACACACAAAAAAAAAGAATCGTAAATGGGAACATTGGTGGCCTACGAGACGGTGCAAAAAATTCAAAGCGCAAGGTACAAGGGAATATGCAGGCGCACACGTACACTAATGATCGCCCTCACCCACATGCAAACACACACACACACACACATAAACGCCGGCAATCGCTCTACTTTACCGGACGAGGCAAGCGGGAATCCCGACGAAGATCGCGGCAAAGGTAACTGTACTTGTACTTGATCTTAGGCTTCTTCTTGTGGCACGCTGGCAAAGCGGCAGCGGCAGTGGCAGACGCCGTCACACTTGCCCCAGCATGCACCACCGATACACCCTCGGCGTCCACCGGTGAGAAATCATGCAGATCCACCAACGGCACGGGCGGGTAGTCAAGCTGACGGTTAACGCAGACGAGCTGCACTGCGAAAAAAGCCCAACACGCCAGCGCGCTCGCCACCTGTGACTCCGACAGCAGGGAGAGGTAGTGAAGCTCAGGCCTCAGCACATCCCAGCACAGACGGTGCAGCAGCGGCGTCGGCACGACGGAGTCCTCGAAGGTGCGCAGTTTCACATCCAGTGCGTCGGCGACCTTCCCCTTGAACCGCTCCACCAGCCAGTGGTGCGAGTGCTGCACAGGGTGCGTGGCAAGGAGAGCCCCCACAACACCCAGTAGGCAGCGAAAGCGCGGCTCCGCATGCAGGCCGTGCGCCTGCAGAAACTTCGCCACATCCGCAGACCGTATCCCATCAAAGGCGTGCCGCAACTCATATTGGTAGTCTGCCCGGAGTAACTCCTGTTCCGCCTTGGTGATAACGCGGCGGCTGCGAATAGTACTGATCCCCGACAAACGTGCTGCCACCACCGCGCGGCAGACCATGTTTGCATCGCTGTTAAAGAGCCGCATCAGCAGCTCTGTGTACTCCTTCTCATGCAGCTCCGAAAGAACCGTGCGATCACGCCGCAGCATGCCCTTGGCGTCACGCAGCCCCGCCTGCGCAAGTTGCCGAGTCACCATTGAGATAGGGATGCTATGGGCTCCGGTGGGCTGTCGAATAGAGCGGTACAGCCGCCGGAAGAATCGCTGCAACACTTCAAACGGGCGACGGGCAGCTAAGAGCCGCGCGATCGCAACACAGCGACTCAACACGTCCAGAGCCCCTTTTTCGCTACACGACGACGCCGTCTCACTGATAAGCGACGTCAAGTCCTGTATCGACAACACACGCGACTCTGCGAGCATGAGGGTAATTACCTCGAGAAAATCTTTTGCACCCTCGTCGGATATCTCTATCTCTTCATGGCACTGCTCGAAGAACGGCACCACATCCCGTGCGTGGAAGCGGTCGCCCAACAGCAGCGCCACCTCCGCCGTGAAGGACGCCGAGACGTTTTTTAACGTACGCTCGGCGAAACCCCGCAGCGGGGTCCTGCAGGCGTTCGATACAACAATCTGCAACACCGCCTCATGCTGCACGGCTTCCTTGATCCGTGAGTAAGCACCTTCGCGTGTCAGCTCCTCCTGTGCGCCCGTATCGGGGTCGCACAGGAAAAAACGGAGGTCGTCTTCCGCCCTGCACGCCACATCATACTCCGCCACAATCGCACACCGCAGATCGTCCAATGCATTTTCTGGCTTCACAGCACACGTCGCGACGGTCTCCTGCGTTCCCCACGAGACGTGGCACTGCAGCGGCAGGCCTGTCGTGCACGGGTGGCCTGTCCACGCCACAACCCCGACGCGAGTTTTCTTCGCCCGCAGCGCGGCACTCAGAAGATCGCGCGTCTGCTGCTCATTGCGCAGTGGAACGCCGTCGCGGGTGTATAGATGCACGTCGTCGTCAGCGGTGACTCCCAAAGCAATCATACATGTCCCGTGCAGCGAGTTCAAGATCTCCGTCGAGTCCCGCCGCCATGAAAAGGGAAACACAACAATGTCCGACTGACCCAATGCGCACTCGACCTCGACATCAAGCACAGTCTCCCCATCGGCAGAGAAGCCGTCGCTCTCTGGCACAATTACTGCTGGATGCTCCTCCGTCGCAAACAGCTGCTTTTGCCGCGGTGGTTCTTCTAAGCTGGCGCGGAGAGGAGCCAGCGTGGAATCCTCACTAGTCCTACGCGACTCTGCGGCCAAACTCGTGAGGAAGGGCGCGTCCTCCGATGCGCTGACAAACAGGGGGGATTCTTGTAACACACACAATGTCGTCTCGGACGGGCTGCTGTCGTAATCGATACATTTCCCCACCTCTCGAGAAACAATATCTTCACCATCAGTCCTTGGCAACTTCGTTGGCGCACTGCTTTCATCCACATGCTTGGTCGATGGTGTTTGGGCACTGTCCTGAACAACTTGTTTGGTTGGCTCCGATTGAGGATTGCTCTCATTGGAAGGCTCTGTCAGCTTTGGAATAATAGCACCTTGATCAACAGGTTTTGTCAATTCCGGTTGAACATTTCTTTCAACAGACGTTGATGGAACCGGTTGAGCATTGACCTCATCGGCAGCTTTGGCCGTTTCCAGCTGAGTGCTCTCTTTTTCGGTAGGCTTCGGCGATTCTGGCTGAGCATTGCTCGCCTTCACACAATTTGCCGCGTTTAACTTAATACTGCTTACATCATGATGATCTGTTGCTTCTGGCTGAGCATTGCCTTCAACAACACATTTTGCTGCACCTAGTTGCACACTGTTTACATCAACGCGCTTCCCCGCATCCTTAGTGGTATTGTTCACCACAACATGCTTTGATTCATCCGGCGGAGCGTCTTGCTTCGTTACGGGGCTCTCAGGAAAGCGGTACGTCACACGGCACACCGCACGCGTCAATTGGCATCGTCGAAGAAGCTTGTTGGCGCCATCCTCGTCCTCCACAGGGAGCAACTCATACATGCCCGCACCAACGGCGTACAGCCGCAACGGCACGGACGGCGGGGGCGGCTGCTGCACAGCATCCCGCACTGCTGTCGCGAGGGCCTCCCGCACACCACGCCTGGGTGGAATGAAGCGCTTCTCGGTTGCCGCGCCGCCGTTGGGGTGGTAGATGCGCAGGTGCACGAGGCCGTCGTCAGCGAGCATGGAGCTGGCCAGCCCCCCCGCCCGCTCCGCCAGAATGACCACAAAGGTGACGCGCTCTTGTGTCGGTGCGGCGAAGAACGCCACCACGTCATTATCGGACTGCAGCTTCCGTTGCTGCTTCTCATTACCACGGCAGACGCTCAAGTCAAAGGCGCCGTTCTGCAGCCGCAGATCCTGTGCCTTGAGCAGCTCTATCACTTCCCTCAGCTTGTTTGGCACCCTTTCCATGGTGAACGTCCTGCGTGTGTGGTCGCCGGCACCGCTGTGTACTTCCAGTGTGCACAGAAAGGTTTCGCCACCCATCGCACCCTCATACAAGCAGAGTTCACTCCCCCTCTATGCGAACTACAGAGTCCCAGCAACAATAACACCAAGCGAAGCCAAAAGACAGAAAAAAAAAGAGGCGGATGAAGAAAGAGCAATAAGTATTTTTTTTTTAAATAAGGCAAATGGGGACCCCAGAAAACAAAATAGGAGAAGATGTGCGAATCATTTGCCGCACAACGAGCTGTCAGTGCGATGGACGGTCATCACAAAACACTCTTTACAATAACAGGGGGTGGGGAATACAAATAAAAAAAATACCATAGCACTGTCTCACCTAAACCCGACTGGAAACCGAAGCGAGCTCGGGGGTGCAACGCGAAAGCCTCCGGAGGCCGCCGTCGTCGTCGTCGTCGTCCCTGGAGTCCAGGCGCAGCCCATACAATGCGTCTACTATGTTTTCCAGTAGGGAGGCTCGATTTGTGAAGAAAAAAGTTCGCGCTTCCGTTGCAGTTTTGCCACGCCCCAGAAGGCCACGTTCAGTCTCCCTGTTCACAAGCGAGGCCAGAAAACAGTACCGCCGCACTGCAGCCACCGCTATCGCGTGGCGCACCAACTGCACCGCAGCGGCATCACCCGAAACGGGGGGCAGCATGTGCCGCATCAAGACTTCATAGGCCGTTGCCACGACGGTGATGAACACCGTTGCTCGCTTGGCATCCTCCTCAACCTTCGCAGGCGAGGTGTCATGCCAATGTTCATCGCAGTGCGCAATGGAATGTTCGATAAACACGGCAGCATCCACGACGGCATCTGTCCTCAAAACACCACGATCCTTCAAGGCCGTGGTGCAGTTCGCCAACGATACAAGGTAATAGTAGAGTGTCTTGCAGAATGAGGCGTCTGTTCCCCAACGCACACGGTCCCCGTACCAGTAGATCCCCGACGCATTCCACAGACTCAGTGAAGTCTTGAAGTCATTGGTGGCACTACATGCATACCCCGCTTGATTCACCTGTGAAATCCCTGCGAGTCGGTACATGATCGCCTTTTCCTCCAGTGAGGGGGCCAAGGCGGCGTTGTCTCTCATCTTCTCCCACTTCGTCATGTTTGGAAATAGGAACATACGCAACTCATCGAGAAGTGGATAACACAAATCCATGGTGAACGGCGAGGAGACGCACTCACGAAGCAACGCATACGCCTTCTTCGGGTCCTTATCCGCGTGTATTGCGTAAAGAGCAAGGTAGTACAGTGGGTCTTTGAACTCACTATCCAGCTCGTACGCCTTCCTCATCAGCCCTACAACTTCCAATGGGATGTCGCTAGTCTCATTTTTCAGCAGCGCAGCCCCCAGCTGATAGTGCGACTTCCCACTACCGGGGCACACACGTACCGCACTACGAAACAGTGACACATCATTGTGCCAGTCATCAATGCGCACGAACGTGACGTGCAGCCAAAAAAGTCCAAGTACCAGAAGGAATGAAAGACCCACAAAGCGTGTGGCACGTTGCTTCGGCTGAACACCTGCGAAAGTGTACACAATAAGAAGCACTGCACCAATAGAGGGAACATAGAGGCAACGCTCAGCGATGAATGTCCCGACGCGCACGAAGAGGTGGCTTACCGGCGCGTACGGCACAGCTAACCACATCAAGGCTGTCAACCACGACAGTGAAATGGCGTCACGGCGGAGAAAGAATTTCCGAACCTTTTGATAAACGAGGGCGACTCCCACGCCCGTCGCCATCATCATGAACGGCAATCTCGTATCGCGGAGGCCGTCTAGCGGCGGAATACAGTTATAGCTGTACTCACAGCACAGCTGCGTGGGAAAGAAAAGAAGTTCAATATTTTTCACCTGGATCAACCACCGTATGCCTAACCAGTTCACAATTCCAGGAGCCACAAAGTATTGTGGGTTCTCCGTCCGGCGAACCATGCGGTTGGATGACAAATCCACCGCGCCAATATGCCACTGCCGCAAGGCCACGTAACCAGCAACGAGCAGCAGGGAAACAGCAAATGTTATGACCACCTTGCGGGCCGACGTCCAACCCCACATATACATAACCCACCCATGGGCGACGAATAAAGCAGCAAAGGTGATGCCGCTTTCTTTGCACAAGACGCTGAGCGCTGTAAAGAAGAGCACGAGGAGAAGCATAAATGCTGGCTTCACCGGGTACCGTTTTCGTTTTCGGTGTCTCTTGTTGATTCCACTGTGGGCACTGCTGTGCACATCCCCCCATGTGTCTAGAAGCAGGAAGCGGTGCAAGTGGAAAAACGCACAGAACCCAAAAAAACAGTACAGCAACTCCGCCCTTCCGACAACGGCCACCACGGCATCAATGTGAACCGGATGAATCGCAAAAAGAAGCATCGCCAGCGAAGGAGCGATGCGGTGAAACCATTCACCGGTGGGAGCTGAAGCTGACAGGTATACGCGCGCCAATAGGTACACCCAGACACCATTAAGAAGAGAAATAAAAATGTTCACTGCACGCAGCATGGCGGCAGAGTGATGAAGTCCACTAAGCCAGTGCTGCAGGCGAAATGTCAGGACAGTCAAGGGGCGGAATGACTTATTCGCTGTCACAGAGTCAAGCTTCGTTCCCCAGTAGTCGTTCTGCAGCAAATTCCACACTGATGTGGTGGAGTTGGCGTAGGAATCCTTATTACCGAGGATTGCAAGGTGGTCATCAAATGTGAGTTCACCGCTCAGGCATTTGGCGTGCACCATTATCACAATGATCATAACCGCACCAATGCGGTACCAGTCCTTTTTGTCTAGATGCATCAATAATGATGATGATGATGGTGGCGGTGGTAGACGTCGCTCATCAATGCTGGCGGTTGGGCCATGTTTCGTTACGTTTCTCGCGGTCCGCGCGTCGGTCATCGCAGCGCCGGCCTACGCAAGAAAGGTGTGTGCTCTAACGGCAACAACAGCAATTAAGCAGAAAGGCAATGAGAAACGAAAGGAGGGGGCAAAACCGAGAAATTGTTGGAGTCCATGGCAAAAACCATAAATGAGCACAAGGACACCGAATGGCTGCCTTCCTCATATATATATGTGTGTGTATTTGAATGTGTGAGGAGGTTGTGCAGCTCACGCCGCGCTCTGCTGCTCACCGCCTCCGTCGCACTGCTGTGCGTAACTCCGCCTTAGGCCGGCGTGAAACTCTCGCTGCTCCCCTAGACGCACACACAGCCACTCGTGGAGATCCGTCACGCCGGTGTGCAACGCCTTATTCTTGTCATCGTCGTCACCGACATTGTCAGCGTGCTGCAGCATACCCCCGAGGTCGTCAAGCACGTGCTCCTGCGTCTCGATGAAGTTGGCGAAGGCACGCCGGGCAAGCTGCTCCTTCGCCTCGAAGCGGCGCAGTGACGCCTGCAGCGATGCGTTCACCTGAGCCGCCTCATGCCGCTCACGCACGAGGGCTTCTACCTTCTGCTGCAGCGCCAGTGCCGTGCTGCGCGCCTCGTGCAGGCTCGCCTCCATTTCACAGAGCCGCGTCGCCTCAGTCGACGAGACTGCAGCAGCCTTCTTCGCCGACTTAAGTGACCGCTCCAGCGAGACGGTCCGCCGTTCGTACTCCTCCTGCTGCCGCACAGACTGCGTCAGTTGCTGCCGCAGTTCCCGCCTCTCGTCATCCAGTTCCACCAGCTGCGCCTCGCAGTGCTGCCGGCGCCGTCGTTCCTCCTCAAGATTCGCCTGTAGAGCATGCGTGTGGTCGTCACGCGCCTCGGCAGGCGGTGAGGCGGCCGCGGCAACACCGTCCGCCGATAGGCTACGCGTGTGCGAAGGGCCTCGTGGTTTGTTGCGAGTGGGCGTCAGAAGAAGAGAGGTAGACGGTGACGTGTTACGCTGCAGTAAGGAACGCACCGCAACCGCAACGTCGTCAAGACTCTCGCACTGCTCCTCGCGTGGCAGAAGTCCGTGCAGCTCCTCCAGACAACGCTGTACCTGCGCGTGCAGCTCACGGTGTCGGCGTCGTTCCACGAGCAAGCGCTGGAGATCCTCGAGAAAACTTTTCGAGCGCAGTGTCTCCTCCGCGAGCGCCCGCCTCAACATCCGCTGGCCCACAATAAGCGACGCCACAGCCGACGGCAGCGCACGGGCGGTCGGGTAATCTTCCGCGAGTTGCTGCAGTGCCAATTCCACGTGCGGTGGCGTGGACATGTCTGCCCCCTCCCTTACTTCCCTATCGTCTTCCTGCTCCTCCGCGGTTTCCTGCTGCTGTTGTTGCTGCTGCAGAAGCGTGCAAAGGTGAGTGACGAGGGCCTCGAGGACGGTAAACCGCTCCACGTCGCCCCGCCTAATAATACACTCCTTGTGCGCCAAAACAGCGCAACTGTCGGCATGTAGAAGCGGCTCCTGCACAGAGAGCCACGTCGCCGTCCCCGCGCTCGCGTCAACGCCCCACATGGTCGTGCGCACATCCCGAGCCCCGCAGCGCAGCGCCGCGAAGCCATCGCCCGGGAACTGGAAGGAACCCTGCAGCGTTAGCGTGTCAACGTCCCACACGCACGCGCGCCTGTCGTCAGCGTAACTCCACACGTGACGGCCCAGAGACATGACCAGCAGGCTGCGCACCGCGAGGCCCTTGCGGTGCGCCTGCCACACACGCTGCGGCGCCCCATCGGCGGTGCTCGGCTTCAGCAAGAACGCGGCGATACAGCCAGTAGCGGTGCCGACCCACAGCCGCCCGCCGCGCAGCAGCACGCAGCATGACGGCTCCCCATGCTCCTCCGCACGGTACGCTGGCATCCCAAAGGAGAGCGTCTCGTCGGCGCGCCTGCGCCAGTTCCACACATCCACATCGCCGCGCTGTGTCACCGTCACGATGCGCTCCCGCGTCTCGTCGAGTGCCACGGTGTGAAGGCGACCACGTATGCGGTACAACCCCGCCGTGGCCACACCGTTGGCATCGACAGCCTCACTCCTGTTGCTGTCTCCCCACTGCACGAAGACAACTTCGCTAAATGTTCCATCAAAGGACGACACCAATACCCCAATTTTCTGAACGTATTCCTTCTGCTCACCCTCCAGGGCATCTTCCGTATTTCCCGCCCCGTTGGGTGTTGTGTCAGTTGTGTTAAGTGGAGCAGCCGCCACCGCCGTCAGCGGCACCCCGAGGTCGCACTGGCACAGCAACACACTCGTGGGCGCGTCAGCGTCGACGAGTACAAGGCATCCAGCTGCAGTAGCGATACATGCAAAGACGCGCAGCCCCCCGCAAGTCGTTGGAAACACCACAGCAAGGACACTGTCCGAGTCATTGCACTCAAACAGTGGTGCAGAGGGTTCCTCGACCGTGGACGCCGAAAGTGGCGACATCTGCTCCGCCACTGCGGACGCGGAGAAGTAGAAGACACGCGTGCCGGACCCACCAACAGTCCACACAGCGCCGTACGGATCGCAGTAGACGGCCGAAAATGCGCCGACCCGGGCGGAGGGGAGCTGTCCCCCCATTGTGCACTGCGGTGGAGCAAGCATGTGTGCGCCGGACAAAGACACGCAGAACGCCCTGGCCCCGCGTTTGTGTCGTCCTTCTCTATACTATCGATCCCTGCTGAATGTTTCGGTTGCCACTGCAGTTATTTTTTGGTTTTGTTTTGTTTGGGAGAATGCGGCAGGATGCACAAAAAAGGGCCAACAAAACAATGAAAACAAAGAAAGATAGTCCAAAATTAAACTAAGAATGCCTCCGGTCCAGCTTCAACGCCGGTGGCACCGCAGCACTTCGCCTCAAAGAAGTCACCCTCGGAAACACGCATGGAACATGTGTGGTTAACATGTGGTAAGGAATGCGAGAGAGAGAGAGAGAGNGGGGTGGGGCGGGGCGGGGTACGAAATGCACGCGCCCACGAGCAGTGTCAAAAGTGAAGCACAGCTGTGGTATCGCCGAGCGGCGTCAGCATCCACCCCACCACATTCACCTTGTCCCTCGGTCCACGACTGTACATCAACGCAAGAAACTCGTCCCAGTGAAGCGTCATGGTCTCATCAAGCCCAAGCTGGTTTCGAAGGCTGGAGACCTCCTCCTCCGTCGGCGGCTCGCCATACAGGCGCGCGTGAATAGCGGCTAGATCACGCACCTCCACGAAGCCCTCCAGCCCGGCGGTGGGCTCGACATTGAACTCCAAAAAGACGCGCTGCAGCTCCTTCACGAGGTCGGCGTCATACACGCCCCCGTCCATTCGCAGCGTCACGAGAAACGCCTCCCACGGGATGCGCTTGAGTGGCACGCGGCGGCAGAGGTCCTCGAAGAACGCATCCGTGTACATGCTGATATCGCGCTCGCGGCCGAGAATGCGCAGCCGCTCACGGAACCCCGCGACGAGCGCTGTCGCGGGTACGGTGCCGTCTTCCTGCATCTCGAGGAAGAAGCGCTTCATCGCACGCAGGTGGATCGCCGAGGGGTGGCTGCTTGGTTTCGGCAGTCGTCCCACCGCCTGGCATGCGAGGACGCAGTTGCGTCGCGTCTGTTCGAATACCGCCTCCGCGACGCGCGGCGGGATGGCGGTGCGGCGCATGCCCACCTCCTTCACGTTGGTGTTGCGCACAACCAGCTCCGCCAGGTAAGTACCGCCCGTCCACGAGATGAACTCGTTGCCACTAAGCTCAATGCGTTCCAGCGCCGGGTGGTACATCGCCATCCGTGTTAGAAAGTACACCGAATCATTTGTCAGATAGTTGTCGGCACAGTTCAACGACTTGAGGGCGGAGAGCCGCTTGCACAACTCCACCACCGGCCGGATGCCCTTCGGGCCGACGTATGACCGCGAGAGGTTCAGCTCAGTTGTCGCATTCCACTGGCCCACGTGGCTGGAGAACATCGCAGCGACTGCTGTTATGGAACGGCACTGGTAGCGCTGGCACAACTCCTTGTATGCCTCGCAGGGCGAGAGCACGTGGAACTCCGCCTGCAGCTGCTGTACATTGTACGAAAGCCCCGCGGCTGTATAGGACTCCATATCCACACCGCCCCCGCTAGCCGGGGTCGAGTGCATCGTCATCTTCACCCGCTGCCGTGCGGCACATATACACAATTCAAACAGAAGTGACAAACAAAAAAAAAACATCAAGAATAAAAGGAGGTGGTGAGAGAATTGTAACGAGCGAGAGGAGTTATATGTTGCCCGTACGAGTAAAAAGCATCTGTCATTCCGGCGCCCAGGCAATAAGAAGACGTGAGAGCAGAGCTCAGAGAGGCCGCCGCACCCGCCGCCACATCAGCTGTGGGCACACATACCCGGGCAAGATCGGTGACAAACCGATGAATGAGGGATCCGAAAAATAAACAGAGAGGAAGAAAGAAAGATAGTAAGAGGGGGAAAACGACTAGTCTTGTACAGGGAAGTCACAACTCGCCACCATTAATGTGTTGCCTATTGGATAAAACCGGGCACCTTCTGCTTCGTCGTCGGAACCGGGGCGTCCGAGCTGCGGCGCTCCTCGACCGCCAAAGGAGTGGACGGCGCCAGCCTCGCATTGTTCGACAGAAGAAATAGTTTGAACAGCGCACGCTTCATTTCATCCACAAGCGCATCTCGAGCACCAGCGGACTCAGCGCAGCAAAGAAGCGATCCGTTGTCATGAGAGACAACAAAACCATATCTGGCAAACCCCAGCGGTGGCTTCACCGCGAGCTCGTTGGCAATATAGACGTCCCTCACCGCCGTCATGCTCCACGAGTAACGCTTCTGCTCGCCCTCGGCGTAGTGCACTATGTGGTCCCCCACAATGAGCCAAAATGAGCGAATGTAATTGCTGCATCCGCTGCGGCAACACCATACGGGTGTCGCATATAGCACACACGTAGGATTGCGAGCTGCCTTGCCATCATCACAGCTGCCACCGTTGTGTTCTTTCGCCCCTCGTTCAGGTGAGGGGGAACTTCCCCCGGCACCTGTAGACTCTGCTTTAAGGCCTCTACGAAAGAAGCGAACAAGCGCATGTGCGTGTTCCACGCGCTGGGGACACAACAGCAGCAATATGGGGTTGGGGCCGACGGAGAGCTGCAGATAGAGTCCATTCTTGGCGCAAGCACGCGGCGCCTGCGTCTGCAGCATTGAAGCCAGCCGGCACTTGAGCACACGGCTCAGCGCAATAGTCATCTCCGGCTCTCGCGCGTTCGGCTTCCGCAGAATAAGCCGTGTATCGGCGTCAAGCGCGACCCACACACGGTCCCACTTTTCCATGACGCATGGACGCACACACTTGTGCGCCCAGAAGCCCACACGCAGCTCCCTTGATGGGTTCAGCCGCTGCGGCCGCGTCCTTCGATTCACCGTCAGCAGAAACCCACGCATCTTTGCCACGGCGTCGGCTTCACAGAGACACCCGCGTGTCAACAGCTGGCGGAAGCGCTCGAAAGAGACAACTTTCTCCAGTGGCTCTGGTGAAATGTCATCACAGACTGCAGCAGCGAGAAGAAGGCGGCAGACGGCGGAGTCAATGAGGAGCTCGCCGCCTATCTTCGTCGTGCCTAGCGAAGCAAAGAAACTATACACCACACACTCATTCTCACCCGAAAAAGGAAATGGTGGGTGCACTAAAGTGGGATGATTCACCGTCTCCTCCATCACCAGCAGGAGGCGCCCAAACTCCTCAGAAAGAGCAACGAATGCAATATGCTCCTGCAGCTCCACAAAGCTGCGCTGCGCCAATTCAGCAGCCCAATAGACAACACTCAGGGGTGAGGCGGAACTATCAGCCACTTCGATGCGAGCAGATGTCTCTTCCTTCATAAGCTGTATTACAGCATCTGCCAACACGGTCTTGTGGAAGGCAGCTTCAGATGTCACCGCATTAGGTGATATACACCCACTGGCATTCAGAGAGGAAGCAAGGGATCCAGTGCCGTGCACATACTTTCGCTCAAGTGCCTCGATAAGCGCCACCTCCTGGCCACGATACTTCTCCAGCTGTGCATCCACCTTGCCCAGCTTATCAGGTGCGTAGCGTTCGTAAATGGCAACAATGCGGCTGCGATAATCTGCAGCGGCATCACCGTGTTCAGATGGTTCAGGTCCATACTTCTTCACAACAGCAGCGATGAGCTCCTCCTCACGGCCCCGGTACTTCTCCAGCTGTGCATCCACATTGCCCGTCCTAGCAGGTGCGTATGCCTCGTACAGCGCCAACAACCGTGTGCGGTAGGACGAAATCACACTGTCCTGCTCCACATTTTCCTCGTCTACGCCGTCGTACTCCAGCTCTGGTCCGTATTTGCGTACCAAGGCCTCAAACAGCTCTTCCTCGCGTCCTGCGTACTTCGCAAGCACTCTTTCAACAGATTCCACTTTCTCAGGGGCGTACGTAGAGTAATAATTGATAAGGCGCTGGTGGTAGTACGTCTGCCAATCATACTGGTCCCAATCACCGTCGGTGTTATCATTTTTCTCGTTGCCGTCGTTTTCCGTTGATTCCGCAGGCTCGGGGCCGTACTTGTTGACGAGTGCCTGCAGGAGATGCTCCTCGCGACCCTCGTACTTCACCAACTGGCCATCCACGTTACCTACCTTCTCTGGAGCATAGTACGAGTAGAACGCGATAAGACGTCCGCGGTAGTCGCCTGACATATCGTACCTTTCTCGTTGGCGTAAGTGTTCGCATGCGGGGGATAATGGTGATGTGGAGAGAAGGGGGGGGGAGGGGAAAACAGCTAAGTGCAGGTATTATAAAGCGCAATTTATAAGCCCACAGGCAGCAGGCGGTTTGAACACAAATAAGGAAAAAAAAAACCAAGTCTGTGTGGTTGCAGTGATGCACACCAGCAAGGATCTGTGGTTGCGACGACGGCATCATACCAGCGAAGCCTGATACAATCCTTTTGCCCGTACGCTCTCAACCAGATGATCAACCGGTGCCGTTCGCTTGTCGTCCTCAGGGAACAGTCGCCACTCCTTCGCAGCATCCGCGAAGGAGACGTTAGTGAAACTCTTCATGAAGGCTTGCACAAAGAGCACGTAGTTTCCCTTCTGCCTTGATCCTTTACTGCCGCTACTGCTTCGGCCCCGCTTGAGTCCCTGTGATTGCGACTCTCTCAGCTCCCGCTGAGAAAATCGAACCTCACGCTGTGATGTCTTGAGGTCGTGCTGCAAAGCCAGCGAGGCCATGACGCGAGCGTCACCCTTCTGCAGCGCGAACACGTCGTATCTGGAACCGTCACGCACCAAAAAACGCCCTACGGCGTCCACCGGGGCTATGAGGGGTCTCTGCTGCTCCGAGCTCACAAGAACAGCGGCGGCACCGAAACGCCGCTTGACTTCCAGCACCCCCGTCTTGGTGCGGTAGGGCACACCGTTCACGTACACGTCCATTTTTACTTCTACGCATGCTTTTTTTTTTTGTTGGGTGTGTGTGTGGGTGTGTATGGTCATGAATGTTTGTTGTTCGTGTTGTTTTAAGCAGAAAAAGGAGAAAACAAGAATGAGATGGGGATTGTGTGCCTACGTGTGAGAAAGCAAAAGCTCACCATGCTGGCTGCACACAAGCGGTGCCGGCCAATGGGGCATCCCCCGCTATTGTTGTTGTAGCGTGTGTGTGTGTGTGTGTTTTGTTTGGATGTGCTTCTGTTACGGCCGGCGCCTTAACGCCGTCAAGAGACCCTCGTCCACCGCGACGCCGGCCTTCTGGAGATAGACCACCAACAACGCCTTCTGGACGTCGGGTGCCACCGCCGCATTCAACGTTCCCCTCTTTGTCAGGGCCCACGCAAGTGCGTCCTTCAGAGTACCCTGCTGTAGCTGCGGAAGCAACGATGCCGCCGTGTTAAGCTCCTCCATTGTTGTGCACTGCGCACACGAATCCACTATTAGCTCCAGCAACGTCGCCTGCATGGAAGCCGCAACGTCGGACGCAACGTCGCAGCACCGATAGAGACGCACCAACACGGACGTTGGGATGGGGATGGTGCGCACCAGAGCCTTTTCTTGCCCCAGTGGCCGGAGAAAAAGCTGCAGCAGCAGCTTCTCCAACAGCGCCTTGTCCAAACGCGCAGCAACGGCTTCCACCGCGGCGGCCAGCACATCAAGTTGCGCAGGCGTCACGTTCTTGCTTTCATTCATGAGGCACCGAACGAACAATTCAAACGCCTCTGCAGGAAACTGATGGCACTCCGCCCCCACAAACATTGCAACTTCTCTCAGCGAGAATTCCGCCGGATGCTGCTCCGCGAAGGTCAGCAGCAGCACCATGAGCGGCCGCAGAGCGCCTGAACGCCCCGTCGCAACGCCTGCTGCCGCCCGCCAGATCTCAAATGCGACAGCCGCCGATAAAAATGGGGCGAACCGCTCGAGTGTATCCGTGCAGCGCTGCAACAACGCATCCGTGCCCCTGTACATGCTGCTCTCAGTCTCACCCTCCTCCTCCATCACCACGTCCGTCGCTCCAATCGTTCTTTCTGTAGACCGCAGCAGATGCGGCACGCGTAGCAACTCACAAGCGCTGCACACACACGCAGCACACTCCGTAACCACAGCCGACGTTACGCCGCCCTCCTCCCACGCCCTGGGGAATCGCTCGAGCATGCGCCTGCAATTCGCAGCAGATGCACAGTCCTCTTTGGCTGGATCGCAGGAGGCCAACACATCCAACGCCACGCCCAGCGTTCCCGCAAGCCTGCCGCTGTACCTATTCCATACAACATCATGCATCTCATGGCACTTTTCCAGCAACTCCTCTAGAAGTCCTCGGGTCTCTGCTCCCACAGTGCGCGTGTGTTGTCGCTCCAGCGCGGCGGCGGTGCACACAGTCCCCAATGCATGCACGGGGTCCACCACCACCACCACCTGCGAAGACTCCACATGGCCATCACTACCAGGACGGATGCAGTCAATGACTTGACGGCGCAAAGACTGCGTGAGTTCAGTCGGCTCAAGGCGCGCGAGGACCTCCAAAAGCTCGCGGCACACCTCCGCCTTGAGAGATCGCCGCTGCAAGTGCCGCAGCAAGTAGTCTACCTCGTCGGACCCAGCTGTTGAGGCACTAAGCGCCTTGGTAAGCATTCGCACAATAGACTCCACCGGCAACAGATGGGCATCCGATAGCAGACGGACCTTCAGCGCCTGGTAGTCGCTTCCCATCATTACTTCTTCCTCTCCCTCAAAGGCATCCATGTCTCTTTCAGCAAGGCGAGCCTCCTGTACCGCGCACAGCAACTCCTGTTGCGCATCACACACACACTCTGGGACGGTAATCAACGCCTCCACAACCAGCAAGCGACTGGTGCTAGACATGTTCTTTGAGAAACGAAGGAGGCGACGACACGTTGCCTTCCAGAGTGCTGCATGTTCCCTCTCCATTTGAAGTCTAGCAATGCACCACAGGAGTTGAGCCGTTTTTCGCTCATCCAGCTGTGACAATTGCTGCTTCTCACAGAAGAGTAGCGCATCCACCATATCCAACGGACCTGTCAGAGCGGCCTTGGCAATTGCGTGAAGGGACGCCACAATTGTTTGCGGCCTCCACATCGCAATCTGTGCCCCAGTAATCCGCTCGTCAAGTTCCGTCAGCAGGCTACCGATAGTGGCGGGCGAAAGATTCACATCACTGCCGCCTTTTACAATGCGAAAAACGTGTACAGCCACCTCGTCCGGAAACGGCACTGCGACAGGGAGACGCGGAAGCAGCGAGGCGAGCTGCTGCACGGCGGTATTCGCGCAGCGCGCCAGCTGCACGTCACGTGTACTGCGAGAAAGTGCGACCAGAGAGGCACCAATGGAACCGAGATAACGGGCCGTGCCCATGCAGGGGGATGCGTCTCCGAGCGACACCGCCCGCTCAGACAGCAGCGAGAGAATTGCACGCGACGGGGTTCCCATTCCGTGTGCAATGCAGGAACGCTTCCTTCGCACACCTCGACGACGCAGTGCTACGGTGCATAGGGGAAAATAAAACGAAAAAAAAAAAAACGGAAAAAAAAAGAGCAGAACATCATTCGCTGACAGCAGCTCCACCGTACAAAACAAAGAGCCACATTTAATAACAGAATGCACGGCCAGAGAAAGAAAGAAAGAAAGGAGGGAGAGGAGATGAACTTTCAGCATTGAAATATAAATACGGAAGAAACGAATCAAATCTGTTAACGAACAAACCTCGCACAGCACATCTCACCCTCGACAGCCCTCACATTCACGCCATCCTCATGCAAGGCATCAGCTCATCTCCCTCCTCCCCTGTCTGAATTGGTGTATTTTGCGCTAGAATCCTCTTCGCCACAAACGGAATGCTATCGTGCAACACTCGCAGGTTCACCTGGTTGGATTTGGCCAGCCAGCGCGAGGATAATTCGGCCAGTGGCAAATGTGTAAAGAGACCTAATGGGTAGTGGTACAAGCGGTTGGAGTAGTATACAACATTTGCGTCGCCCGGAAGTTCTCCACCAAACACAAAAAATGATCCCTGCGCGAGCGCCGAGGCGTGGCCGCTGCGTGCGCTTGGGCGGGACATGCCGCAGTTCACCGTGAGGTCTACCCACCGTGACACCGCGGGCGCCGTGTCGATGCACCAAAAGTCGTCAAAGTACAACTCCCCGTCGGTGTCGCCACCGTGAATATACACGCGGCCGCTCACCACCACCATCGCGGACGCGTAGCGCGGCGCCGGTCGCGGCCCGGACCGTGTTAGCACCTCCCGCCACGTGTTCGTTGGGAAGTGGTAACAGAAGAGCGAGTTGCTATAAACCATGCTGCTAGTATTTGGCTCGTTTCTGGCACGGTAGCCACCGAATACGTACAGGTGGTCGCCCTCCACCTGCGCACTGTGGCCGAGGAGCGGGAGAACCGGTTTCCCGAAGGTCCCCGGCGACCGTACCGCGTACCATTTGTGTGTGTTGAGGTCTAAGTACCAGAAATTGGGCGGTGTGTTGCATGGATCCCCCATGAGAACATACATATGATTGCGGTAGATGTGGGCAGTGTGCAACCGCCGATCTCCAGGACCTTCCGGCTCCGGCGGTGCCTGGTGGAGGCGCGCCCACGTGAAGGTGATAAGATTTAGCACAAGAACATCCGAAAAAAAAGTGGGCAGAAACACATCCTGCCCCCCGTATACGTACATGTTGTCACCGTACACCACGGCGGAATGACTGATGCGTGGTGCAACTACTTCGCTGTTGATTGTCTCCTTATACGACCACCTCTTCTTCTTGAGGTCAAAGAAGTGAACATCGTTATACGCATAGTGCAGCGCCCCACCGCCGAAGAGGATGAGAAACTCATCCTTGTAGTTCACCAGCGAGTGGCAGCAGCCGTGTGGAGGCGTGTCCCCCATTGAAGGCACGCTGCTCCACATGTACGACGCAGACTCGCTCCTGCAGGCATGTAGAGGCATCCTGCCGCAAGCAGAGCGCAATTAACGGAGAGAGAGACAGAGACAACAACGCCGGTGTTGAACCCTTTCGCGGCCTAACTGTTCCTGAGACGGCGCACACGCCAGTTGCACAAACGCCCAGACAGAGACCCACAGACACACACACACACACAAAACCACACAGACAGAGGCAACTGACGAAAGAAAGAAAAAAACCAAAAACGACGACAAGTCCCAAAGCCAAGGGGGAGAACAGCGATCAAGGTGGCACGAAGCGGGTGGAAACGGCAGGCAAATGCCTCTACTTTTTTGTGTCGGAAGATCACCGTGCTACTGACGCCACCTCGGAGACCTCCGGTGGGTGTGAAAGCGCAGGGGAAATGGAAAGGGGGAACAAAAGACACGCAAAGAAAACAAGAGGAAAGAACAGCAACATGCAGCCACGCCCGGAGCAGTTTCACAACATCACACGGGTACACGCATACAGAGAAGAAAATAAATAAAAAATTACTCTCTCCTCCCTCCCTCTCTCTCTCGTCGTCCTCCCTCCCTTACGCGCAGAAAAGGATACCAGCATGTAAGAAATCACCGGTCCCCCTTCAAGATTCGTTGAATTTCAAACTCATCCACGGCACTTCCTACAGCATGCAGCCACGCAGGTGCGCCCACTGGCAACTGTGGCACTAACCGGACCACTCTGCCCAGCCGTGCAAGGTCGGCAAGCAGCTCCTGCACGCCATGCCCCTTCCCCCCCTCCATGGCTTCTTCTTCCGCTGAGAACGCCGTCGCCCTTGAGAGTCCTTGTTGTATCCCTATGTACTCCCTCGCCGCATCGCAGAACAGCTCGACGATGAGAGTGGGACTGCAGTGCCGTCCATGAAGAAGTGAATTACCGCCTCGAACCACCACACGCAATCGAAGAAACCTGTCGTTGTCACTCACGTGCATGGATGACATCATCAGGTGGGAAAGGGCACACTTCAGCCTTGGGGCGTGTGGGCTTTGTGAAATCGTATCGAATACGTAGGGCGAGAAGCAATCGTCCCCGTTGCCCCAACTCATCTCACTAGCCTCCTCCACGCGCGCTACGAATAACTCCAACGCATCAACAAGGATTTCCGCCACCGCCGTTCTTTTGGTAAGCTCTAATGCACGCACCAGCCGCCAAGTCACACATAGGTGGAGGGGGCTCGCTTTGCACCATTGCCGCACGGCATTATCGTACTGCTCCAGGTCCAGCGAGCCGGTTTCTGCTGCACGTTGCGCCCATACCGCTATCCGCTCCGCCGCACGACGACTTTGTGACACATCAGGCTCCATGCGATGCAGGGACTCCATCACACGCCAAACATCCTGCAGTGATCTCAGTATGCTGGAGCGTAGCTCGGCGAGCGTGTGGTCATCCAGCTGCGAGTTGTCAAGACATCCATGCGGCAATGAGCATTCACCCTTCTCCAGAAGGGAGGCGAGGTGCGACGCGAGCACCCCGCGAGGTGTCTTGTCACCATCACATGTCAAGTGAACGCCCTGCCAAAGAGCCTCCACCATGGATGGCACAGCTGGGGCGCACATTTCACATAACGCCTCACTAATGGAAGCAGCGCTTGTTGCACTCTTCGAACGCATGACGGCATCCCCTAGAAGCACCGCTAACGCAGAAACCACCCGACTCGTCTGCTCAGGTCCCCACTTCGTTTTGAAGCGGCTAGTAATGAGAGGAACAAAGGGAGCGTGTTGCTGCTGAAGCAAGACAGCACCGCCGGCTAGCAGCGCCTGACATGAGAGCCCGGCATCCCAAGCACTCACGGTGACGTAGCCTTGCAACGCCAGAGCCCGCACCTCCGCGTGTTGGGCAGGGTGAAGCAATGTGCACAGCCGCTCGTACGTCATGAACAGCGCCACGGGCAGTTCATCATACCGCGCTGCGAAGACATCACCGTCATTTTGGCGCGCGTACAACGCAACGTCGCGCACATCGGAGGCGGACAGGCGACACACCCACGCCAGCAGGGCGGCCTGGCACCCCTCCACAAACCCGCGCAGGCGCATCAGCGCCTCCTCCTTCAGTCGATTCCCCCGCTTGATGTCGTCAACGACCATCGCGTAGTCGTCGGGGTCGTCTGTGGTGTCCATCTCCGGCAACGCAACAGGCGTCAGCACTTGCGCAAGCACGCAAAGACCCTCGCACACCACCAGACCTGTCTCTGACGCCGCCATCAGCGCCGGCGTCGCCAGCACGTGTTGCAGTGCCTGTGCGCCAGACGCCATGGCCTGGTAGAGCGTGTGCTCAGGACCGAGCTGCACCACAACCGTCTCCACAGCGGACTCCAGCGCTGATGTAATGACGCGGCACACATGCGGCATTGCGGGCCGCGCGTCGTCGCCCAGCACAGCCGTCAGGGCTGCCAGCAGCAGTGTCACGGCACCTGTGTCAAGCACGGTAATGGAGCGAAGCACAGCGCAGACGGCCTCCACCACCGTTTCGCTCGCTGAGCCTTGCTGCAGACGCTGCAGCGCCGCGCGCCAGAAGGGTGAAAGGGGCAGCTGCGACCAGAACAAGGGAGCCGTCTCCTGTGCATCACGCACAGTACACTCTGTGAGGAATGTCACCCCCTGCGCAACGACCGCCGCAACCTCACTCAGGTCAGCCTCTTCCTCCACCGGCCTGCAAGAGAGAACGAGGTGCATGTTGCTCTGCACGCACAGCCGCTGGCTCGAGCGACGCACTGGTCCGATCATCACACGCCGGTCACTGAGCACGCCCATCACTCCCGATAGCAGCTTCATAAAACAGCGCGTGTCCCGCGTCGTCGACGGCACAACACCGCCAAAGCCACAGAGCAGAGCATCCACCACATTTACTCCGGGCTGCAGCAGCATGAGCGATGAGGCGCATAGGTACAGCTGCGCCGCCACCGGTCCAGGGAGCTTCGGTTCACGCAGACAGTCAAGGTAAAACCGCAGCAGGTCGCTGAAGTCCACAGGTCGTGTGTCGTTCACAGGCCGAGCAACCGCTGCCGGGATGGCCTCCATGCAGAACATGCGGTTGAGAATTGCAACGAGCAACAGCGGCGGAGCCGCAACGCCCCCCGCGTAGAACTTGGCGAGCGCGTCTTCCAGCATGAGCGGTGGGTAACTTTGGCGCGTGATGTTCGCGGTGCGTGCCGCCTGCCGCGAGTGCTCGCGGAGGAACGCGCCAGCGTCGCTGCTGCCAAACTCGAGGAACGCCTGCACGGCAGCCCACATATCCTGCAGCAGCCGCGTCTCCATCGCCTACCCACACGACAGGTGCACACGTAAAGGCGAAAAGAATGAAAGCGGAGAAGGAATAGCGGGAATAAAGCATAAGGTCACCGGCGTTGCCCAGTGGCAACGCGTCGCCATCACCCGAGCGCCGTCGATGAAGACACGGTGCGAAACAAAAGATGAACTCGGCGAGATGGCATTTGACAAGCGTGTCATATGCGCACCTATTGCTCTGTCGCTCGAGCTCCCTGTCTCTCCCTCTCTCTCACACACACATACACCCACTCACTCACTCAAAGCAGATGGCTCTTCATTGTCGCCTTCCGCTTGCTGTAGACGCTCTCCAGCACCGCTAATCCAACCAACTCGTCCACCGCCTCGAGATCCTGCCGCCGCGCCGCCACATCGTCAGAATAGCCTCGGTCTGGCGAATAGTTCGGCCGAAGATCGTCGGGGTAGTATTTCTTGAAAACTACGCCATGCGCCGTCAGATACCCGAGGACCACGAAGCCGATAGCACTGTAGTACTCCCGCGTCTCCGCCCCTGCTCGGCCCTCGCTGTCACGGCGCTCCGCCTCCTCCTCTGCCTTGGCCGCCTGCTCGTAGTTACCACGCTCCGTCAGCTTGCGTTTTCGATACGCCAGCTCGTCACGACTGGTGCGGTGCGTCAGCGGGTGGTCGGTGAGGGTGTTGCTGTGCATAGTGTCCTCGTACAGACTCTTCGGCGAGCGGCGGATGGAGAAAATATCATCTGTCTTTCGAGTGAGTTCCTCTGTCACATGGTGGCCACCTCCCGCCGCTGCTGCTGCTGCTGCTGCTGCTGCTCCCGTTGGGCCGGCAGCTAGTGTTGCGCCTTTGCAAATCCGCATATAAGTATGCCGCAGCATTCTACGTTGTGTTTTTCTCTCTCCCTATTCCTCTCAAACACACACGCACACCTTGTGGCAAAAGCGGGGTAGAGACCAACAAGCCGCAGGGAAGCGAAGAAGCGAAACAACGAAAAAAAAAATACATCTCAGCTGCTCGCCACCATCGGCAGTAAGAAATACAACTTGACATGACAGGAATGGCAAGTATGCCCCACCCCCACTCCTCAACTTTTTTGGTCATCATCTCATGGATTTTCACTCGAGCAAAGAGGGGCGAAGACAGTGTGCATCCCCTCGAGAAACTCCTTCGGGGTGCGGCTCTCCAGCATTGCATACGACGGCACACGTGACCACAGACCCGCGTTGGCCCGCTCACTCTTCAGCGCAAAGCCAAAAGAGGCGAGCAAGGAGGAAGCCTTTCCCACAACATCCGGGGAAGTGTCAATGGGCTTTAGCGTGGCGTGAACAGTGAGAATAAGCTGATTGATCTGATCCATTGTCTGCTGCAGCTGGTCAATCGCGTGGAAAGTGGTCTCCAGCTGCTGGCACTTCTCACGGAGTGCGTTGAGGCATGGGCGGAGGCCGTGCCCCAGCAGCTCCTCTGTCAACCCCTTTATTTCCTGGTGGATGGCTGCATGCCGCTCATGCAAGCCGTGCAGAAACATCTCCAGCTCCTGCAACACGTCCGCAGCACTCGCCGCGTGGTCGATGGCCGCGCAGCAAAGCGGACCATTCAGCGCCTCACCCTCCGGCATTCAACACGCCCGCAATGAATGCCAAGGTATCTATGTGTGTGTATGTTTATATTTGCCCGCGCCACACGCACAGAGAGGAACGGTGCGGCCTGAAGCACATGCTGGGACGAAGCGATATGAACACGCAGCGAATAAAAAACAATAGAAATATAGCGGAAAGAAAAATCATCTGGTTGGCAGTGCCATCTCCACATTCCAGCACCCCAACCACACAGGCACACGGGAGACACGCACACACATATACACCGCACCGGCTACCCTCTCTTCCCAAAAAAAAAAGGGAATAGAGAGACACACCATGAGCAAATGCCCTCATCAATAATACGGCTTATTTCCCTTCATTGCTTCGTCCCCTCTTGCGCCTTCCCCCACTCCCTAGCGGCTCCGTACTAGTTCTTTACGATCATGTTCTGTATAAAGCTAAACACAAAGGGCAGCACAAGGTACATCCAGTACTTCTGGAAGAATGTGCGGCTATCCACCTCCTCTTCTTCCTCCTCCCCCTCAACCTGTGTCTGATGCTCCTGCGGGCTGTTGCCGCCGCCGCTCGCCTTCTTCTTGCGACCGCCGCTGCGCGAGACCTTCGGGTCGTTGCGTCTCGCGAAGACGTCGAGCTCCGCGTAATTCGGCACGCTGCGTGGCGCAATCGGCTCGACATAGCCGACACCCGCCCGCACCCGCACGTGCGGGAAGAGCGAGAGGATGCTGCGGTCACACTCGTCGCCGTTGAGCATCTTTGCGTGGAAGGTGTTCGTCTCGCTCCGCGCCTGCAGGCCGGTGACGGACGTGCCGGGGCCGACGGCAACGCGCACCTCCTCGCGAACGACAACCGCGCGCGCATCCACCGCCTCGAAGCCGCGCAGAATGGAGCACGGCGAGAGCGCCAACCCCACCGCGTCGCGGCCGTCCGCATCGTCCTCACGCGCAACGCGGTAGTGCACGAACTGCGCCGCCGCCAGCGCGTTCTTCTTATCCTTCGAGAGCTCGACGTCCTTCGGCGGCGCCTGTTTCACTTTCGCGGGAGCGTCAGGCGAGTGGCGCGACACGACGAACGTTGTGATGGGCTCCCACTCGCCCGCGGCACCGATGCGGCGCTGCAGCACGTACGACTGCGTGGCGGCGTCGATGGTTGGACTGCCAACCAGTGCAATGCACAGCAACGCACTCAAGGTGGTGAACAACAGCCGCGCCATTGGTCCGTAGTCTGTTCGAGTGTGTGTGTGTGTGTGTGTGTGTGTGTGTGTGTGTGTGTGACGAAGCGGCGCAGTGTGCCTTCGCCAGACTCAACCCTCCTTTGAGAGACAAGCGCAGTGTCAGAGCAAGAGAAGCAACCAACGAAACCGAAAAAAAAAAAGAAGAGAGGAAACAGTGGGTGAATGTAGAAGTTTCTACAGTATGCAAGTGGAGAAGAAGAGCAAAAAGAATGTCTACAAGCAGCACGCACCACAGTTGCATCTGTAGGTGTATGGTTCATGTTGTGCGTATGTGTGTGTTTATTCAGCACGAGTCGCCTTAATTCCGTTATCCTCACACTGCCGCATTTCAGCGGCGGAGGTGGCTGCTACTGCTGCTGCCGTCGCCTCCTCCTCCTCCTCCTCCTCCTCGGTGTGGCACACAAGCAGCGGAAAAATGAATGTCGCATCGCCATGCACACGCACCACCTCACAGTCGCTCGCCAGCACTCCGTTCGCCCTGTCGTCCGCAACGCTGCAGGAACTCGGGCACGCATCCACCTCCAGCCCTGTCGACACGTATACCACCGCGTCTGCGCGCACGTTCTGCAGCAGATGGTGCTTCGGCAGCCCACCACCCAGCACAATGCAGGTGGTCTGTCCGCCAGTGGAGGTGGCGCCAGCAGAAGTCTTGCTGCTGTGGCGCTGACCGAGCTGGCGCAGCCGAACGACGTCGACGACGGGATCCACCAGCAGCCCCTTCTTCGAGAAGTTGTAGAAGTAAATCATGTCGCCCATCGAGCCGTCAGTCAAGGCGGGCGAGAAGAGCGGAATACCGTTACGGTAGCACCAGTACACCAGACTCGAGGCGCATTCATCGCGGTGCGTTTGCTCAAGGGCCTCACCCATCGCCGCAATAAGGTCCGACGGGGCCGTCATTTTCTCCCAGCGAGACTCGCGCTGCTGCTCGTGTGTGCGCCTCAGCACCGGCATGAAGAAGTCCTCGAAGTGGCAGTAATTGTCGTTCGGCACGAGCAAGTTGCCAATGCGGTTCACGCCGTTTTTGCGCAGCACACGGCCGTCAAGGCTGAACTGACCAAGCAGCGTCCTACCTAGGCACTTGATAACGTCCTCCTCGACGCCGCCGGCGGTGGTGATGACGCCATCGACGAGCCGCTCCTGCGCAAGAAACGCGAACGTCTCGCGCAGCCCGCTGGAAATGAGGTTGGAGGTGAACGCGAGGAAGACGGCGTCGCCCGCCTGCTTGTGGTGCAGCGCGCGCTGCACAATAGAGCGTGCACGGCCCAGTTGCGTGGCCTGCAGCCCGACGCGCGGATACGCCAAGACAACGCGCCGCAGTGCCTCGCCCTGCTCAAGGGCAACCAGGGCGCTGAAGTCCACGCCAGCCACGGTCTGCTCGGAGCTCTTAGCCGCTCCTGGCGCTGCTGTGGCTGCGACTTCTGGCTGTGTCATCGGCCCTTTCTGTTCGTCCCTTCCCGTTCCCGCTATACCGTTCGAGGAAAACGAAGAGGAGGGAAGGAGGCAGCCATTCAGGAGGGAAAAACAAAAAAAATAGAGTACAACGAAAAAAATTCAGGCTGTGGGGAGGTCGTGTGATACCTCCTGCACCTTTTCTTGTTTCTTTGCAGTTTCGTTTTACAGATTGAAAACTCTTGTCTTAGTTATTCGACTTATCAATAATAAAAAGAGAGTAACTTTGGCGTTATGTATAAATTTAACGGCGCCAACTCTTGCACTCTCACACATGCTTCCTCTTGCCCCTCTCTCAGACGCCCGCGACGCGTTGGGGCCTAATGCTGCAGGTTAAGAAGCTCAAACCACTGGCGCATGGCGTCAGCGATGGCCCCGGGCAAGGTCTCGAGATCCCGCACAATAAGGTAGTACGGGAAGGGGAACTCCTCCATGTAGGAGCGGCGCACCACCTTACCGCCCTTAAACTCAACCAGCTGCATGTCTAAAACTGAGTTTGACTGCACACGGTGGAGCCGCGCCTCGCGCTCTGCCTTCAAACGCCGCATACGCTCAGCGGGTGTAAGTCCGGTGAGGTCCTTCGCAGTGAGCGGGGCAGCAGTAGTCGTCTGCGGTTGCGTCGGCTGCTGAGCTGGTGTGTTGTCTCCTGCTGCCGCTGCAGCCGCTTTGACGTCAAGGAGCACAAAAACAACAATTTGTCGGTTTTCTTCAGCGCGCATCAGCAACTTGCGCAGCTGGGTGCGGTCCTCCGTGATCTGTCCATCGCTTATGATAAACATCATCTGCTGCAGCTGCTCCGTAGTGGAGCGTGTCTGCCCGCGCATGCGATCCCGGGCGTTGTCGAGGTAGTCCAGAGAAGTTTCTAACAGAAGCCGCAGGCTTGTCGACTTCTGCGCAAAGGTGATCTCGCTGAAGGCCCGCGGCCCACTTTCACCCGTGAAGGGCTCGTCGAGGCCGTGCACGATGCGTGTGTCCTTGCCAAAACAGGCGAGGCCGAGCTCACCAACCTCGAGTTGGCGCAGCGCCTCAGCAAGAAGGGCGACCGCACGGCACGACATTACACCGGCGTTGTTGCAGTGCATGCTGAAGGAGTCATCAAGTGCAACAAGGATCTGGTAGTTGCGCTTGTTTGGCTTCGTCCTCCGCAGCCATATGCGATCCTTTTTGAACTGTGAGGCAATGTATGGAATGATGCGCTTCATGTTGAGCCGCTTGCCCGTCTTGTAGTCGCCCTGCAGCTTGTCGGCAAGCGTCGGGGCGAGGATGAGGCGCAGCTGCTCGCACAGATGGTGCGACAGCCCCTGCACTGCTGCTGCCTGCTCCTGCCAGAGCCGGCGGCCGCGCTGCATCTTGTCCGCCGCGTCGTCTGTGGCGTCCTGCTGTTGCTGATCCTCTTCCTCGTCCTCCTCCTCGTCATCTTCCTCCGCGCGAGACGTCTTCCCAGTGACTTTCACACGGCGCTTGCCCTTTGTCTTATCGGTGTTCTCCTCCTCGTTGTCGTCGTCATCGTCATCGCTGTGCATGTCAAGCGTGGTGTCCTCTGCCGGCTTGCGGCGGCGCCGGGCTGTGTCCTCCGGTGCCTCTTCGTCGTCGCTGCCCTCGCCGTCGCTACCCGCGTCACTGTTCTTCGCTTCCTGCATCTCCGGCAGTTCACGCTCTGCCTCGGTGACGGGTACCGGCGCTTCGTCAGTGGCGGCCATGCCCTCGCGCTCGCCCTCCTCGTCAAACTCAAACTCCTCAATCGTCTCTTCATTCTCCAGATGCTGCTGCTGCTGCTTCTGCTGCTCTTGCGTAGGCGGTTTTTGCTTTGTCACGTCGACGCGCTGATTGAGATTCAGCTGCTGCGCCTGCCGCTCGTGGCGCTGCAGCGCCTCCTTGATGGCGCGGTACGGGTTGCGCGACGATGCGTTGCGTTCAGTGTTGTCACGGCGCCGCGATGGGTCGTTCTTCTCCTGCCGCTGCCAGTTGCGCCCGGCGTCATCTGGCTGCTGCTCGTCGCCGGGCTGCTGTTCCTCGGTGCCGGCGGCGTCCGGTTGCTGTGCCGCCTCGCGCCGCTTCCCGTCCTTGTCGTCCTGCTTCTGCTCCGTTGCCTCTTCGCCGGTGTGCTCGTCCTGCCGGCCGCCATGGTGCACACTCTCGTCAGGCCGATCGTCGTCGTCGTCACCGCTGTAAGAATCCGCCGACTCCCCGTCCTCCACGTCGTCGTTGCTGATGCTCTCCTCCTCATCCTCCCCGCGTGGCTCTTTGGATGCGTCCGTCGACCCCCCGTCGCTGCGGCTGTCGTCCCGGTCTCTGCTGCCCCTATCGTTATCCCCGTCTTCGTCGCCCTCGTCATCCTCTCTGCCGCTGCTGATGGTGCCATCGCCGTCGCGGCTCTCACCATCATCGTCGTTGTCGCTATCCTTGTTGTCGTCCTCGATGCCGTCGGCGTCGGCGGCAAGGTCGTGTTCGCCCTCCTGTAGTTCCTGCTCCGCGTCACGCAGCGCGGCCTCGCGGTTCTCAAAGTTTCCGGTTTCGTTTTCGTCAGCGTCCTGCTGGCGCGCGTCATCGGGCTCTTCGTTGGCGAGCGCGTCTTCTGGGATGTCTTCGGCGCCGCCCTCGTCGTCGCTGTCCATGTCGTTGCCGTCGTTCTTGTCCTTCTTCATCCGCTTCCGCTCCTGCGCGTCGTCGCCGTCGACGCTGCCCATCTCCTGCTCCGACTCGTCATCATCACCGTCGTCTTCTTCGTCCTGCTGCTGTTCGTCGCGCCGCTCCTTCTCAGCCTTGAAGTCTGTCTCAACATCCGCGGCGTTGTCCTCGTCGCTGTTGCCGTTCTGTTCATTTTCCTTCTCCTGCTCCGGCTGCTCCTCCTTGTCCTTCATGTTCATCAGCTGGTCCTCGTTCTCGATCTGGTCCGTCACGTCCTTCTCGCCGTGCCCGTCATCCATGCCGGTGCCGTCCTGCTGCTGCTGCTCGCCGTCACCGTCGCCGTCGCCGTCATTATCGTCGTCCTCAGCGTCGTCCGGCTTGCAGAAGCCCTTCTTCAGCAGCACACACAGCAGCCGTGACAGCACGAGGCCGAGTCGCGACTGCGCGAGCAGTGCCGCGCTGCTCTCCTGCAGCAAGACGTCAACACGCGCGAGGCTGCTGTCGAGGCGTGCCACCAACTCCTGGCGCTGCGAAGCCAGCAGTCGCCGCTCCTGTCCCGCGTCGCACAGCACGGTGTTCAGCGCTTGTGTGACGTGCAGCGCACTGCACTGCAACTTCCGCACCGCCACCGCGTAGCGCCGATACACTGCCTCTTTCTCCGCCTCCTCGTCCTCCTTCGCGGGCGAAGCGAGCGACTGAGTTTCAGCAGCAGCAAAGTTCGTCTCCAGTGTGTCAAGGAGCTTCTGCAGCTTCTGTGGCCATGGGCCTCCAGCCTCCACACGTGCACGCTTCACCTTAGTTTCGGTCGAAGCAGTAGCCGCACTGCGTGTAGACGATGCTGCATCAAATGCCGCACACAACGCAGATGCCGCGGCGTCGACACAGCCAACACCAGTAGTGCACAGCCGGGAGCAAACAGCACGCAGCCGTCCGTGCAGCAGAGCGTGTTGCTCAACAATGGCGTCCGCCACTGGCACATCCGCACGGCGCTGCGCCTCTGTGCGAAGGCAAAGGCGCCACAACTCTTCCGTACCGCAGCAGAGCTCTTCTATGCTGCTACGCATGCCCTCCAGGTCAAATACACGCTCCTGTAAAAGCCATCTGGTGTCGTGCAGGAAACACTGCAGCTGCACGCAGACCTCCAACGATGCGTGCAGAAAGTCCGCACCACCGGGAACGACGCACTCCTCGCACGCGACGACGCAGTCGCGCAGAAGTACCACCTGCTGCCGCACGTCGAAGAGGACGCCAACCAGCTCTGTCTCCGTCACGGCGAGTGCGAAGAGAAACTCTGCAGTGCCCGTGCCTCGATTCGCCTGTGCACCACTGAGGTCCTTGTGCGGGTGCCGCATGACATCACGCATGCGCTGCAGCCAGCGTGCACAGCGGTAGTGCTCCTCCGCCGCCTCTTCGACCAGCTGGCTCACAGCAAGGTGACTGTTCATGCTGCGACACGTCAACAGCGCACTCGTCGACGCAAAGAGCTCATCCCACGGCGGGACCTGCTCCACATGCGTGTGCGGCACACCATTCTCCTCCATGACGTCAAAGAGCGTTTTGAGTGCACGCATTTTTTGATTCTGTGGAACCCCGGGTGCCTGCAGTGCTTTTACGCGCTCGATGATCTCCTCTGAAGCGTAGTTAAGGAATTGCACGCCCTGCGCCACAAGGCCGCACACCTCTTCCTCAGCGTCCTCATCCCCACCTTCCTCTTCGATGGTGTTGCCTTCCTGTCGCTGCTGATGTGTCTCAGAAGAGATTCGCTTCCCAGAACGTTTGCGTTTAGAAGCCGTCGAGGGTCCGCTTCCTTTCTTCCCATTGTCGGTGTCCTTTCCATTGCCCCGGCTCTTCTTGCTCTTCTTCTTCCCCAACTCCACCGAAGGAAGGACGAAGCCCATCGACGCATCATCCTCACAACGCTGCTCCTCGCTCGAGATGGCGCCAAGCACGGGCGTGCGCAGGATCTCGTCGAGTTCGGCCAGCGCTCGGCCCATTTTAAGGTGCGACTTCTCCGCTGTTGCGCGTACCGCGTAGTACGTGGAGTCCTCCCAGCGCATGATGCGGGTGAAGGCCTCCATATCCTCCTCGAGCGGCGCGAGAGCAAGGCTCAGCTTCTCCGCCACCAACCTCGAGAACTGGTCAAAGAAGTCCACAAGATGCATCGCCACGTTGGCGAACGGGGGCTCAGACGACGTGGAGGTGACGAGCTCCATACCAAACGCCTTCAGCAGGCGCAGCCGCACATGGAAATCGCCGTAGTGCGCGCCCCACATGAAGTCTGTGCAGTGGCGGAAGAACAGCATGCACTGTTCCGGCAGCGCCTCATCGGGAGCGGTGTGGCTGGCTTCAACGAGGTCACAGAGGCGGAACCACTCCATGCCGGCACGCAGCTCCCATTCCTCGCGCTTCGCCGTGAACACCTGTGACCAGCAGTGCAACTCCAGCCGACGCCACCGCAGTACGAAGGACGAGAGTTGTGTCATGTGCGTCAGTATGGATGTGTCACGGGAGGCGTTGCGCTCCCACTCGTAGCATTCCCGGAGCAACACCTCACAGCCGGTCATGACCTTCATGAGCGGGGTCGTGAGCGCTGGCAGCGCCGCAATGCCCGCCGCAATGCGGGAGCAGCGGTGCAGGGACGGGGTGTCGGGGTACGTCGCGCGCAGCTCATCGACAACGCGCATGAGGTCCCGCAACGCGGCACTGAATGGACGCAGCTCCGACGGCGCAGGGTCAGAGAATATGTTAAACCCTGCTGCACGCTTCTCCTCGAGCGACATGTCTGTCACCTGGAGCTCCTTCGCCAGCAACGCCGTGCGCGCGGCAAAGCCGCCCAAAAGCAACTGCTCCTCACCCACAGGCAGCAGTATTCCCTGCCCAGACACACCGCTGTGCCCGCCCCGGTGCAGCTCGCTGGAAAGGACATCAAAGCGAGCCTTGAAAGCCTGTAACGCCTTGTCGCCGTCAAAGACAGCCGAATCCTGGTGCGACAACAGCCCTTTGAAAAACTGATAGTGTGCGTCAAGTAGACGCCGTACGTAGCGCGACCCTTGTGGCCCGGAGAGCATGATGCGGGCGTGCCGCCCCACGCGATCCGACGAGGATGTCTGAAGCGGCACATCAGCAGCATCAGCAGTGTGTTCATCAGACTCATTGAGGTCTTCCTCGGCGTCGCGCATGCGAAGAAACTCCGCCTCATAGCTGGGGAACAACATCTTCAGCTTGCGCAGATGCTTCTCATCGTCCCCTTCAATGGTGATAGCCTTCTCTGCATACAGCACTGCCATCTCTTGCTCACGGCGCTCCTTTGCCTCCAGCTCCTCTACTGTGCGGTGCAGCTCCCGATACAGCCTGAACAGATTTTCGACAATCTCGCGCTTCAGCACCCGCGCTGGCATACTCTGCAGAACCGTTAGACAAGAATCAAGATACGTCAGGCGGTGCTGCAGCGCATGCGTGCTAGAAGAAGGCAGTGTTGGTGAGGCCACGCAAAGCTGCGGAAATTGCATCATGCGCGCTGCATCCGGTTTGCTAAAGAGTGTGTTGTCCTTGTGGGACGACACTGACAGAAGACAACTGACGTGAGCCGCCAGTGCTGCAAAGAGTGCCGGCTCCGCCATAATGAGTGTGGCATCCTCGTACCCGCCAAATTCCTCCAACATGTTGATGAATTGCTGATAGAGAAGCTCGCTCCACGTATCCCGCGCCGCATAAGTCTCAGCCGATTCCTTGGACAGCACAGCGGAGAGGCGATCATCGGACAGCATGGTGGCACACATTTGGTGGAGCATGTTGACGAGCTGAGCAAATTTCACACCTGACGGGTCTGGTCGGGCGATGCTCTTCCCCGTCGCCTTGACAAGAAGAAACTCCTCCGTGGAGTGGAGCTCCTGCGCAAGCCGTCGCTGCTGGCTACTCGTGCGCATCGACATCTCCTCAGACCACTTGAATGCTGCCTCCAATTGCGACAAACGACCCATCTCCTCGCACGCAATTTCCTTCTTCACCAACCACTTGTACATGGGATCGACCGGGGAAAGGGGGAGTAGCAGACGGCAGCGCAATGCCCCTACCAGCGCCACGCGACGCAGCGAGTCAGTCGTGCTGCATGCGCCTTCGTGCACCACCATCTGCAAGAGCGGACGTGCCGCATCCACCACTGGGTCAACGGGTGATGCACACAGCAGCTCACGCACCGCATCGACCAGTTCCGTTACTGACGTCGGCAACTGTCTTGTGGGCACGTTCTTCTTCGCTACAATAGCGGGGATAAACTCCGGGGCATGTGCAGTTAGCATCTCAAGCAGCTCCTTCATACAGTTAAGCTCCAACTGTTCAAAGGGGTTCACGCCCACGACAGGCAGCACGCTGCAAAAGCTCAGAAGTTCTGTGATGGTGTCCGCGTGGGCACCTCTCTGAGAGCCAATTGATACGACAGAAACTTGGGAGGCGTATTCGAGAGCCTCCTGCGCGGCGCCGGTCCACGAGCCGTACAGACAGTGGCACCCACCAGTCAAACCGTGCCGCGCAGCGAAGTGTGTTGTCAGCAACGGCACCAAAGCAGCCAGGGCTTCACTGTCATGGCCCTCCTGTAGCCTGAGGGAGAGTACTCTCCACAAAGTAACCTCAAGCTCTGTCAAAACGTGCAGCTTCACGGAGTAGAGATCAATGAACTGACGAACGTCGCCCTGCAGAGCCTTTGCAGACGCAGCAGAGCCCCCTTTGCTCACCTGTTGAACACGCTGCAGCAGCGCAAACTCAGTGCGGAATATAGCGGGGCGCCAAAGTGCTTTTATCAAACGCTCATGAGGCCCAACTATAACAGCATTTGCAGCAGCGCTCCACGCAGCAAGTGCGTTACGCTCGTCCATAGTGGTGATGTGAGGACGAACAGCACGCTTTTGCACCGCTGACTTCTCAGCCACAAGGTGGTATGGTACATCAAGATACCGGCGCAGTGAGGCAAAGAAATCATCAATGGTGTTAACAAGGTCATGGGCGTCAAACACTGTTTGTTTTTTTGCTACTGATTGGAGTAGCGCCACGCGTGTTACTAATGCAACAAAGTTCTCTCTACTCACCTGGAAGGTGGAATTGGAGTCGTGTATCAGACGCATCAAAGGAGACAAGTAACGGAATATACGTTGCTGAAGCTGGGGCAATGAAACAGTCCCTACGGCTTCGGAGAGGGTGGTAAGCACCCGGTGAAAAGCAGTGTTAAGAACTGGGGAATCGGAAATCAACGGCCGGGCGCCACGCAAGAACTTCAACCACGGAGCGTGTGGACCCAATACTTCAAGGGAACGACACCAAAGAGAATCGAGTGGCATAGCTGAACTCTGGTTGTAGTGTGGTGAGAATAACAGCAATGTGTCGTTCATCTCACCTTCAGAAAGCAGAGCTGCCATAGTGGAGGAAACAAACTGCCTACTTGCAGTCGTCAGCGTATCGCTGGGTATAGCATCCCTGCACTGTTCCAATATAAAAAACAATGCCAGATCCCGAACGGAGTGTTGAGCCAGTGCGGCTTCGCAAGAAGATGTCGCCAGGGTTCTCAGAGCCAAACCACTACGATGAACCCGAATACGTATGAGAGCTGCTTCAACATCTGCACCATCTGCCGCTTCACGCAGGCTCATAGCACCCAAGAGGTCTATAACGGCAGGAAAACATCTGTGGAGCTCGAGTGGGTCCTCATTTATCAATCTCTCAAGGGAATCCAAAATTTCGGCCTTGTTGACACCCCAGTGACCACAGCGGTTCTGGATGTACTTGTGTAGAAGTGCCGCTTTGAGATCCACCAAAGTAGCCTCGGCAGTCAGCATCGTCGCCGTCTTTACCAACGTAAACATGTTAGGTGCACCCGCTGCCAGTGCATCGGACAGCTGTGCTGAGATGGGTAAAGTAGAATCTGCATGAAATCCGCGGAGTACGAACTCACGGTGATAGCGGGTTAGCTTGCCAAGGAGCTCAATAGACCTGGAGGAAGATGACGCCCCAGCCAGTGCAACACTTTCGATGGAAGGAATACTGATAGGTGTTACGTAAATCTCCACCGCACGATTCCGCATGGCACGCGATATCTCACCGTACTTTGGGTCAAGAGTTGCAAAGAGACGAAAATTGGGATGCGGCCACACGACGCGAACATGGCCATCAACCAGACCCTCCTCGTTAACCGAGAGCATTCCGTTTGGCTCCACAAGCGGGTTGAGACGATCCAGGACACTGGCGTTGCAATAGTTCACATTGTCCAATACGAGCCAATGACCAGAAAGCATCGCCTCCAGAATAAGGGAATCACGCCATTCAAACTGTCCCCGTTTTCCTTCGACCTGATCAAACCCACCGAGGAGATCCACCGTGTCGCAGCTCGCGTTCATGGAAAAAGTGACAAGTCGCGCCCCCACCAACTCTGCCGCAGTGCGAATGCAGAATGTTTTCCCTGCCCCACTAGGGCCCACCAGCAAACAGAACTGATTCTGTTCCGCACATGTAAGCACTGACCGTATCACATCTGTCTGGGAAGGAAGAAGAACTGGGTAGCAGGATCCAGTTGAGATCACCGGCTCTTGCATCCGGTGTGCAAGAAGTGAGCCACCAAAGTAAACAGCATTATTAGCGATGAGAAAGTCCGATTCCCGTGTAGCGTAAGCATCATCCATACCGTGGCCGAAATACTTTGTCGCCAAGTCGCGAACCTTGTTCCTGTCTATATCTGTGCGCATGCGTTGAATAAACAGCATTTCCACGAATTGGCATGGTCTGTCTATAGCCTGGTACATCTCCATCAGCTTGGACCAACGAAGGACATCACGCAAGTTGAACTCCCAAGGGCTTCCACGCATTCCGTACGCTCGGCGAAACATCACATCGTGGTGCAGTTCGTCCACAAAACGCACCATTTTTCCCAGTATGGCACTGTCAATCTCCGGACAAACCGCAAGCACGATACACATCAAATCTTCAACCTCGAATGCCTCAATGCGCACCTTAGTAAAACGGTTAAGAAAGCTGCGGGGCAATCCTTTTCGACCACCACCCTCCATTAGTGGGTTCTGACACGCAAATACGCGAAAGTCGTCTGCTGCGTGGAATTCTTCATTCAACTCCGGGATAAAAACGGCTGAGCGATGATCCAGAAGGGCGTTAAGGCCTTCAAGCACTGCCTGACTTGCGAGATTTAGCTCATCAAGAACAACCCACCATCCAATCTTGAGAGCCTGCAGCAGAACACCGTCAGACCAAGCAAATTGGGGACCATCAGTGTCGCTAGATGATGGGCAGGGCAAGTATGTGCCAAAGAGATCCATAATATCCGTTTGCTCGCTCAAGTTGATGCGCACGACACGCTTGCCGAGGGCGCATCCCAGAGCTTCTACGATACTTGTCTTACCAACTCCAGGACTTCCCTCAAGGAGGACGGCCTTGCGCATAATACTTGCACGAAGAAGTTTCGACAAATTTCGGCGCGTCGAAGGTGCACCAAAGAAGAAACGTTTCTCCATCTCTGGTGGAAGACTTGGTTCTTCCATAGTGTCGAATAGCTCCCAGAACGGCACTTGTAGGCAACTTTCATCCATGTTACTCACATCCTTGGCCCTTGCCAGACAGACATCACGCAGTCCACGCGTGCCAAAATCTATCTGACCCGTTCCAACACCAAAACCATCAAGAATCACGGCATCTAGTCCATGCATGAATGCAACACCGTCATCGAGGTGATTGTTGGCAGCATTCATAAAAGAGACCCACCCGATAATGTCCCGAATGCTAATGTGTTGAGGTGCTCCAGACAATGTTGTAGCTTTTGAGGCATCGCATAGAAGAGATGCCATCTTTTTCGCCCAAGGTTCGAGACGTGGCTCCAAACGCTTCAATAGAATCAATGCAACCTCTTCCTCATTGGTTGTTGGCCGAACATAAATCTCTGTGAACCTGTTACGAAGAGCTGGAGAGAGCTCTTTTTTTCCAAAATCACCTCCAGGGTTCATTGTCGCAAGGATCATAAAATCGTCATGTGCATATATAACATCAGCTGTACTCTTCTCAGCAAGGGTGACAACACGTGACGGTTCCAAAACGCTGTTTAATCGTTCAAGCACGCTATCCTCTGCAAGTGAGATTTCATCAAGCACGAACATACCACCCTGAAGCATGCACTCCACAAGAGGGCCATTGCGCCACTCAAAAATAGCCTTACTTCGTTGATCCGGAAGGGCAGGACGAAGGCTTCCTAGGAAATCGGCTGCTTCACTGTGTTGGTGGCAATTGACAATACTAAGGTGACGTCTCAAGAGCGCCGCCCACAATTGGCATACAGTCGTCTTGCTACTGCCGGTCTCGCCAACCAGCAGTACAGGTTCCTTGTGGTGGAGACAAATTCCGACCACTGTGAAAAGGCGGCGCATCGATTCAGTCCATACAATACCAAATTCATCAACAACACCACTTTCTAACAAGTTATAGTACTCCTTGACGTAAGGCCAGTGGTGCGGTGAGTAAACTTCATCTTCATCCAGCTCAGTTCGTGTGACGGATTCGATGACATCCTTAACAATTTGTCGTTCCTCAGTCTTACGGCACCGCTCTGCCAGTAATAGGAAACCGTGTTCTGCCATTTCTTGGTAAGTACCAGGGCGACGCTCAGCCCAACGAATCAAATCTCGGGGAGTGATAAAACCATGCCGGCCCGCAAATACCTGTGAAGCTTGACGCCTTAATTGTAGTGATACCATGATCTCAACCATCTTTTCAGCAAAGCTTGTACTGAGTGAATACCGTTGACACAAAATCGTGCACAGCTCCGTAGTTGGTATATCATCCACTGTGATTTCCAAGAAGCGATTACGGAAGGCCCTTGAGAGGAGTTTGCGACCTCCATACACACCTGCAGGATTTTGAGTAGCAAAAATGCGCAGATTAGGGTGAGGCTTTATCGTTTCTTGGGTATCAGCCACAAAGAGCTCACGATTGTCGTCAAGAAGTCGGTTTAGCGCCTCAAGAACATCTGTGGGTGCAAGATTTAATTCATCTAGCACAACCCAATACCCATTACGCACCGCATCCACAAGGATACCGTCTACAAAACGAAGCTTACCTCGCTCATCAGATACGTAATGACCAACATATTCTTGAATTTCAGTACTTTCATGATTGTTTATACGAACAAACTTGTTTCCAGTGAGCTCAGCAAGATACCTCACCATAGAACTCTTACCAGATGATGTGGGGCCTTCAAGAAGCACAGGGCGATCAGCGAAAACCGCTCGCGCGACATTTAGCAAATGTCCTCGTACACTCTGTGTCAAAATGAAGGATTCATCCGTCTTAGACTCTTCACATCCTATTGGCAACCATAAGTGCTCATAAGCTATGAACTTCCCCTCATATGGGCAGCATGGCAGAGTTGGGTGGGGAGGCTGCTTTCCACAAAATACGTTTTTAATTATCAGTTGTTCCACAACCGAGTGGAACTGCCTCTGCAGAGATGTTGCAAACCCCAGCATCAAACCGTCAAATAATGCCAGCGCAAACCCATACTGCGATGTAGCTTTTCTAACATACGTAAGAGCACGCGTAAGTGTTCTCAGACTGAAAGACGGTGGCTTCGTTTCGCCGTCCAGCGAGCAGAGTGACGATTTTGAACCCCCCACACATTCGAGGAAGAATGTTGTTATCTCTTGAGTTTTGCAGTCAGGCGCAAGATGACCGATGTATTCATTGACCACAATATTAATATCATTCCGATCAAATGGTTCATTCACATACAATTCAGTAAACTTTGACCGCAGAGAGGGCGGGAGATCCTTCTTCCCGACGTCTGTTGGAGGATTCATGTTGGCGAACACATGAAAATTCTTATGCTTCTTTATCGGTTCACAGTTCCCCTTTTCGGTCAGAAACAAAGCATCAACATCTCCAAGCACAGAAGAAACTCTTTCAAGTACTTCTGTCGTCGCGAGATTCAGCTCATCCAAGAGAATCCAAGAACCTTCTCTCCAGGCCTTCGCCAAAGAGCCTTCTTCAAACTGGAAGGCAAAAGTCGTTTTCGTCTTTTCCAACGTCTCCAGTAACTCAATGGCTGTGTGTTCGAGAGAAGACCAATTTTCCACCAACTCCTCTGCAAACGGCTGTCGGGCGTGCTTCAATTTAAAAGAATTATATCCCTTCAAAATTTGTTTAACCACAGCTGACCAGGAGCATTTTCTTAGAGCAGCCTGAAGAGCATCCAAGAACTGAACGTTTCGAGTAGAATTAAAACTCTGCGAAAAAAGCTCCACAAACCGGTGATACGCATCCCTTACAGCAACACCTACATCAAGCGGTTTCCAACCTCCCATAAAATCACTTGTGTCCGTTTGTTGGTTGAGATTATGTACAATCAACTTCTGCCCAATCTGATCCGCAAGATACTGCACAAGAAATGTCTTCCCCACACCTGTTTCACCAGTTAGAAGGACATTTTCACCAGACTCAACAGCGACGGCAATTCGTTCCAAAAGAGACATCGCGTGCTTTGTGGCAGCAAAGGCGACACGACTAGATCTATTTTGTACTATACCACCCTGCAGGGGCATCGTTACACGACCAACCGTAAAGTACTCCTTCGCCAATTCCATGTCAGGTCTGCTTTCTTTCACAAGCGAATCGGCAATGTTAGGTGATATACCCAGAGTTTCAGCGAGGACTATCATAGCGACTGTTAAATCATTACCTGCAGGATAGCCGGCGAGAACGCAGTCGAACGCCTCACGAAACATAAGCTCTCGAACCGTTGAAGAAAGAAAACCATCCGAAGAGTCCATTTTGGGGAGTCCTTTGTTCACTCGCTTACACCATTTAAGCAGACTTCTCAGTGTTACCAACGGGGCCCCTGTACGTGGAGACAAGAGTGTAGCCAAGTTATGGACAACACTTCGTGGTACGGAATAGAATGAGGTTGCAACCGTGCATACTTCTTCCGGTGGTAAACTTTCCATAACAACAGTGCCCCAAAGCTCTGCAAAGGGAATAGAATTCACCTTCCGTGTGGTAAATGTACCACCAACGGCACGTAGCTGTTGGGTGGCTATGATCTTGAAATTCGGGTGAGCGCGAATCCGTTTGTTTTTATCGGACAGAAAAAGAGTGGACTCCTCAAGGAGTGAGAGAAGCACTGAGAAGACATCAAATGATGCCAAATCAATGTCCTCTGTAAGGATCCAATAGCCATTTTCAACTGCGGAAGTAAGAGGACCAGGAACCCATTCAAATGCACCGGGGGTATCTGTTGCTGAAAATTTCCCAAGCAGGTCCTTGCTATCAAATGAATCGTCGACATTGACTTGTATCATGGTATCCTTCGCTCCATACTGCTCTGCCATTGTATTTGCCAAAAAGCTTTTTCCGCATCCTATATCCCCTTGAATGAGCACCGCTGTCGACGAATCCAAAGCTACCTTTAGATTACTAAGGTTGCGCTCGCTTGTCGGCGTCAAGATCATTGTCTTTAATGGATAATAAAAAGAAAGAGGGAGAAACCCAGCCCAAAAGAGAAGGTAAAAAAATATATTCTCCTACCTCTCCACATATCAGAGTCCTTCACAACGCCCTTTCGCACCCCCATTAGCCAAACAAAGTCACTCTTCGTTTTTTTTTTTGGAATGCAAATTTGTCCTACTGTGTACTGTCTCCCTTTCGTATACGTTGCAGGCGGCTCCTCCGTGTTGGCTCCGTCTTTTCCAGCCGCACATTTTGGTGTGCCACGCCAGGTAGCTTAGCCTTGTCAAAAAAATCGTGTGAGTGTAAAAACATTGAGTGTCTCTTCCTGCATAAGTCCACATCTAAAGAGAGCATGTATCCGGAGAGTCCCAGTTCCACTTCCAGAAGAGAAGCTATGCCATATACAGCCCTTTTGTCCTCCTCTGACAGACGTTCAAAAAGCCCTAGTGCTATTTCTTTCGGTATAGTTATACCACCCGCCAGCAAGAGTGGTAATATATTTAGGACGACATCACATGATTTTGTGCTTCGGAGAATGCGGTACGACAACTCTTCTTTTTCAAACGGTCCTTTGCAAATAGCCCCCTCAAGGCATCCGTCAGTCAGGCAAGTACTAAACAAAGGCTTAACTTCAACTGAAGCCGCTGACAAATGCGGCAAGGACGTAGACGGAGCCTCATTCTTAGCATGGTGAGTATTCAAACGGGTTACAAAAGGAGCCTTGGAAACCTGCGCACCATCCCTAATCCCCGCCCTGCGTGGTACAAGAAGAACAGAAGGACTCTCTGCTGTATCTAACAATTCAATAGGCGGTGAAGGGCCTTCCAAACCATATCCCTCCAAAAAGCTTACAGCAGACACAAGCAACTGCAATAGTCCCTTTTCCGAGGCCTTGAGCGCCATCAGACTCGATAAGGTCATATACTTTAGCCGTGAGAGAGATTGCTGGCCACAGCTCGCCCCCAATTCCGCCATCCCTGCATGACACTCCTTGGGCGCCCATGTTTTCAAATATATTCATAAACAAAGGGAAAAGGAAATGAGAAAAAAAAAAGATGAAAGAACAGAAAAAGCCACGCAATCCCCTACACAGAAAACCAACCCATGCACCAAGCGCTGCCAAAACCCCTCCGCTGGGTTTCCTCCCCCGCCCGCCGCGGGACCAACCCCGGCCAAAAAAAAGAAAAAACGCCGCCGCGGGCGGAGAATTACCCGCCGGGGGCCGACACCCGCGCCCCGCCAAACGCCACCGAGGGCGGGACAGGCCCCCCCTCTCGAGTTGCCGGTTCCTGCCCCCTTGGGGCTTTGAAGGCCGGCGTTGCCCCTTGAGGGGCCGGAGGGCGTTGCTGTGGTTATTGGGTTTGCCGTGGTGCAAAGCAGGGTGCTGGCGTCTTCGGTGTCTTTCGGTGTTTTTTTTTGTTTCCTGGCGTTTTTTTCTTGCCAGTAGAAGCTTTTTTGTTGGTTAGGAGCCAAAAAAGTGACGTTGTGATTCCACCAGTGTTCTCTACACCTCTTTTTTTCTTCCCCTTCTTTCAAATAGGCGGCACTACCGAAAGAATGAGCGGCGAAAATATCTATAACTTGATAGATGCGGTGGCTCCCGTGGTTGAAGGACCCTATACAGGGAAGTATGAAAAGCATATGAAGGAAATACCAAAGCCAGCATACTCAACGTTTACTGATAAGAAGAAAGAATATGATGGGACGCACCCTCGTTACTTCAAACAACGTGATGCGGTGATGGGTCCAATTGTAAACGATTCCGTGGACCCAAAGAACTTTCTTCGAGCTGGCGAAGGTGTGAAGTATTGTGTTCCACCTTCCCACGAGAAGAAAATATTTACTAAACCCACATTGGACCATGGAGCCGAGAAACTCCGCAATGGAAAGGGTTTAGGACGTCAGGCGCATCTTGGTGGTGCTTTTCCAGAGAACACAAAAATTGGCCGTAATTCTCCTCTGGATGGGTCATGCAATGGTGAAGGGAGTCACACACAGGAACAGAGGGGACCTTGTGGTAATAATACGGATAGAAATGAAACACAAGAAGGATTGGGAGGATCGGGTGCTCCAGGCAACGCACGAACGAAAGATGACGGGGTATTTCCCAGATCCTCAGGAGGCCTGGAGCAAGGACACAATGGAGGCGCTGGAAATTATCCTGGTGGTCATGAGACGACTGGGGATGATTCTTTGCGTGTTGGAAATACAGCGGATGCTGTATATGCGTTAGGAGCTCTTGATGGAAAGAAGGACTTCGTTACCTCAAACATCATACAAATGAATAACATGGTGCCAAAACGAAGGAAGGATCAGCCGGAGCATCCCACTTCCCGAAAGACATTCGCGCAGGTCCCAAACTACCTTGGTCGCGTTAAGAAGGAGATCGATGATGAAAAGATGCATTTCAAAGCTATTGAGGAAGCACAAATATGCCAGAGGCAACAGCAGTTGGCAAAATTTGTATATCGCTTGGATGAAAAAGAACGTGTAGAGTTGATCAACAACCTCAAAAAAAAGCTGAATGATAAGAGCAGTGAGTTGAACAAAATGCCTTTTGTCAAGGACACCTTTACACAGGTGAAGCGACGAGCCGAGTTAGAAAGGGACATAAAAGAAATTGAAAGTGCCCTTGTGAAATTAGACAAAGACGCCATTTTCGTTTACAAAGATGACCCGAGATTTGTCGGCTGGACGAAGGATGCCGCCCTCGAAGAAGCTCGTCGCTTTGCTTCTCAGCCGAAAGCTTGACATATGTAGTCCGTGGTATGTATAAATATTAGACTATGTACGGAATTTTCGTTTTTGTGTGCTAGCTTCCAGTAGCTTGGGATTTTTTGTTCATTTGTATAGCCTGTGTGGCCCAAAATGTGCTCCTCATGCATCATTGTTTCTTCTTTTTTGTTTAATTTCGTCGTTAGCTACCAGACAGGAAGATGAGGCGTTTCTCCAAATTTGTACGTGTTTGCTCCCCATTGATGAGGTGGGAATCCGTAACACCCTCGGACATTCGTGCTGAGGTTAATGCTTTGCGTAAGCGCGTAGGGGTCATTGAGGAGACTCAATCTCTCCAGGCTCTATTGGCGTTTTACAGTTCCCGTCCCCTACATCAGTTGAATAGTCTTGATGAGGTTGTGTACTACTGTACGAGGCCGGATTACAACGCCGAAATCTTCTGCCATATGGAACTACCTGTTCTCCTTTCTCGTCTTATTTCGGCTATTGATGCACTTCCATGTGGACTCAATGCTATGCCAACTGTGTTATTGGTACGAAACACGTATTTGGACTCATTCAAAAAGCTGATTAAGTGCGATTTCCCCGAAGATGAAGGAACAGTAGCCTGTTTTCACAAAGTGCTTACTGAAATCGAGGATGCACATACACAACAAGATATCTTGCTCAGTATGGCGACAGGTCTTCTTGAACTGAAGAATCTGCTTTCACGCCATAGACTATTTATTCTCAAAAGTAGAAAAATGAAGTCAAGAATGGACGCCGAATACGTGTTGCATGAAGGTTTGATGGCGCTTACAAAACCAATGGATGCTTTTAGCGTGCTCATGGTCCAGTACAACTTTTTGTCACGCATGCTACTCAACCTTAGGAGAGGACACGATAACATGATAGGAATGGTTGATCTTCAAATTGATCTTGAAAAAGTTGTGCGAAATGCAGTCGATGACGCAAAGGATATTTGTACCAATCACTATGGTGACTGTCCCGATGTGAAGTTCATTATATCAAAGGATGCGGAATTGATGAAGTTTCCACATATGAGCTCAACTATATCGTATGTCGTCCTGGAAGTGATGAAGAATGCGTTTCGGGCAACAGTAGAAGCCCATATGGAACGCAATTCCTTAGGAATTGTGAGCTGTGAGAATATGCCTCCTGTAGAGGTTCTCGTAAATATTAAAGAAAACGCCCAACATGCATGTATTTGTGTGTCTGATGAAGGTTTGGGAATGACACAGGTCGATGCTGAAATGGCGATGACTTATGCGTATACTTCCGTGGCAAAACCTCTTCTCAGACTTGGAGATAAGACCCATCTAGAGGGTGGGGGTACGGTTTCCCCTCTTGCTGGTTTTGGTTTTGGGTTACCCATGTCAAGAGTTTATGCAAGATGCTTTGGTGGCGATCTCGTAATGTGTACCATGGAGGGATACGGGACCCGCGTCTATTACTTCGTCAAACTGTGAAAATGACCTTTTTTTGACTGCATTGTTTTTTTTTTCTTTTCTTTTCGGGCGAATGAAAACGGAAACAGCGACTTAAAAAGGAACCAATATATTGTGGCCGGTCAGTGAGGATTGGTTTTTATGATTACACTGCGGAAGGTATAGAATATTGAAAGGATATGGTGGTGTTGCTTGCCAGAAAAAAAATTTTGGCTCTCTCCTTGATCTCTTTATTGTTATTGCCTGCCTCCAGTCTCCAAGAGTGGTATACCAAGGTAACGGCCACCATTTAGAAAGTTTGGTTGTGAAGGAAGGGGAGGGTGCCAAAGGAGCAGTGTGTCCCTTCCATCACTGAGATGGATGGAGAGGATTGCTTTGGCACCACACCTGTGCCATGGGGCCTTATGCTGGAATACGAACGCACTGATGCCATCGTTCAGCTGTGTCGACAGCTTTCCTTTTTCCGTTCTGATAAATTAGAACTCATTGAACGCGAAGAATTTCTCTCTTGTTCTGGTATGGAGTCTGAAGGCGCAAATTTTCTATTAGTGCATGGTTCAGTTGGTAATGCCCGAAAGGACGCCTTCTTGAGGATTCTTCGTTTAGCGCGGCTAACTCTTATACAGGACATTGCTTCCCAAGTTATTGTCTCGCCGCAAATTGGAGATGTTCTCCCAAAGGCCCTATTGCAGCCTCTGTGGGAGACCATCCAGGTGAAGAGCCTCCGAAGGTGGAACAGTCTTCATTGGGCAGTGCGATGTGGTCTTCTTAGAAGAATAAAAAGGCGACGTGACATGATGCAGGTACATGTTGATCAGATTTTGAGCATGAAACCAACTGAAAAAGAACTTAGCTCTGCTACCGCCACTGAGAAGCCTGATTCGCTGGAAGAAGAGTCATTCTACAATGCTTTTCGGGACCTCCTTGAACTAGAGCAAGAGGAGCAGAATGCTCCTCTTGAATTGTACCACAGCGCATGCAGCGAAGAACGAGTTCATCTTTCTTCTGTTGTCGCAAATGTGCCGACACTTATTGTTGTGTGGGCTAGCTGGGATTCGGCGTCCGTCGCGTGGTTAAGGGAGCATCTCTTTAACGACTCGAAAACGGGGAAGCTCAAGGGTTGTGTAGCGTTGGCTGCAGCATTTCTTGCTGCTATGGATGATGATCCATGGCTGCAATGTGTATCGCAGTTTGTTCGGATACCAAAGCGAGCAACAGTACCAAAACGAAGAAGGCTGCGTCGCGGTGCAAGACGATCTCAAATTGTTTTGATTAGTATGGACCGTGAGAAGGCGGCTGCTCTTCGGACTCTCAACTCTCTTTCTGCTGGGGTCGGTGGCTGGGCAAGTCCAGAGGTTTCATTGATGCCATTATGGGGTGGGCCTGATGGTCTTCAAAGTGAGCTAGCAACTGAGCTTAATGTCACGGAACTTCCGTTTTTCATTGCCACAGAGCCGTCTGACAGCCGAAAAAGAAAGATGGGTGATGGAAGGTGTCCTCGCATTTGCTATATCACCTCTAACACAGAAGGAGAAATGAATTCGTTTCCCTCGACTGTGTCGAACACTCTTGGAGAAGCTCGTGGAGTGGACATCAATTTTGTAGATTGGCATATCGTTGACAAAGAGAAACGTAAGTGTGTGGCTAGTGCTATCTCCAACTTTGTTGGATCTAGCGATGCACCTTTGCGATTCTTCGCACGTGTGGATCGCTCTTACAAAATGATACACCCATCCATGTCACCACCGCTGAGATATTTGAAATCTGAAACAGTGTCGCAGGTGTCCATGTCTGGTACAGTTTCATCACTGCATGTACAAAAATTGATGGAAGAAATGCGTGTTCTTGCTCAGGTGAAGAACTTTGCAGTGGATGTAAAGATAATGAAACCATCCAGTCCATTGTTGATACAGCTGAATCCTATAACACCATCTCGGTATATTCATGGGATGGCCCGCAATGTTACGTGCAGTGAGTGCTTCTCCGATATTTTGATAGACACTGAGCACCACTATAGGTGTTTACACTGCGATCAAGTGGAGGGAGTTGTGTGTCCTAGGTGTTTTGCAGAAGAAAAACACCCAGAGCATCATGTACTACTCCGTATACCTACCAAGGCTGATACAACTTTGCATTTGCTATGGGGTCCATCAAATGTTGCACCCTTGACTCGTTTTTTGGGGACTCTCTTACCCAATATTGCCGATGCCCACGTTGGAATCTACTGCAATGTTTGCTCTCATCAGGTGCGTGGAGTACGATGGAAATGTGCAACGTGTTATCAGTATGACATGTGTGATCGGTGTGACCGAAAGGAGAATCCACAAATGGCTTGCAAATGTGCTAAAGGTGTCTCTTTCCCCGCAGAGTGTTCTCAAAGTCCTTTTGCCACATTCGCCGAATCCAAGTCCCATCCCAAGGAGCATTTGTTTCTTTGTATTCGCCGGGGTACTGGACCAGACGGTGATGAATGCCTGAAGCCTGTGATGGAGCATAAATTGTTGGAAACTCTGCTCATAGGGGAGTGCGCGGATGACAAGGCAGGATAAAGGTGTACTAGAGTGTTGCTTTACATATTGCAAGGCTCTTGGAGAGGAGGTCATTTCCTATAGTTGGTGATGTCTCAACCAGATCTCGTGACGGTTGCCCCTGTTTGTATCTGTGTACATTAATGTATGGTGACGTATTCAAGGACATTGTTGTGTTTCTTTGGAGCTGCTGGTTTTAGTGTTTGTCGGAGAACTTTCTTTGCGCCTATATGTAATGTGGAACTTTGCGTTTGTCATGTTTCGTGGCTTTTTGTTTTACTGCCGATTTCTTTTGCTTTGTTCTGTATATAATTCCTCAGCTCCTCTTAGGACGCTGGGTGCCACCATTCCTACTCCACCTTGTTGGCGCGGGGTCTACATTGTCGGCCATATCATAGCTGACCCGCCACATGGGGTGTAAAGGGAGTTGTGCGCGGTCCCCCAAGAAGAAGAATGAACCGGAGGCAGAGGGTGCCGAAAATGAGCCTGTGAGTGCAGGGGATAACAGAACCGCCTCTATTCAAGATCCTAGTATTGCATCGCAGGGATCTGCACGGCCACTGCCAGCTCAGAGGGCGCGTTCAGAATCCCCCACAACAGACCAAGGGAGGGGGGTGTCCCGGCAGGAGTCATGGCGAGATGGAAAGGGCAGCTCCGCTCCGCTGCCACTTATCGTGGTGCCTGTATATGGCAACAACAACAACAACAACAACAACAACCCTGACGATGAGGAAAGCTTGCTTTTATCATTTAGCAGCACCTCCAGCACTCCGCAGTTGTTCCGCATTGAACCTACACAACGAGCACAACGGGGGGATGGTACTTGGGAGTGGTGGTATGAGCAGGTAGAGAAGCTGCGCATAACCAAAGACTACACGTGTCGTGAGAAACTACAGGATATTCCTAACCGCCTTACGCGGCAGTACGATGCAGACAAGGGCCGTGTTGAATTAGACCTTAGCTGGTGCTACATGGAGCGTTCCGCTCCGTATGTTCTCGGACGACTCCTCGCCAGTCCTTTTCTCTGTGAGGTCCGCTGGATCACTGCTTTGCGCCTTGACGGCAACTACTTCACCGATGACGGTTTCGGCAACATGCTCGCTGTGATGAGTGAGGCCAATGAGAAAAAGACAATTTTGCCGCTGCTGAAGCACCTGTACCTAAACAACATGAACCTTGATCCTTGCAGCACACACGGAATTCTTTTCTACCTGTTTCCTCTTGACTGGGGCCGATCTGCAGGATCGTTGGCGCAGCCAACAATAGCAGGGGACTCTGTAGGCCTACCGGTGAAGGCCTACACGCCATTTAACAACTACCCAAGGTCGCCGCTTTTTCCGTCGCTTGAGGTTCTCAGCCTCTGTGACAACCCAGGCATTGGCAACCGTGGGCTAGCTGAGGCGTTGCGCTGCTTCATCGCACCGCACCGCGAGGGGCGGGTGTTGCCGGTGCTTGATCTCTCACGCTGCGCAATTGATGAAGTGGGCGTGCGCTATATTCGCGAATACCTCACGCATCTCCCTGTGATTCTAGAGAGTGGGGAACGTGCCGTCATTGTCAGGCGTATTGTACTCTTTGGTAACCGACACAGCATCGAGCAGGCTGGGAGTGCTGTGCTGGCCCCGTGTGATTCTGACTTCACGCTTATACTCTGAAAGGGGTGTGAAGGACGAGAGCGGTAACAAAAAAAAAAAAAAACAGCAACACACACACAGCAACAACAACCATGCATACGCACCCCCAAACAAGGAAAAAAAGGATCGAGACAACAGTCTACTGATATCAATGACGTAGAAGAGATAGAGTGTGAATCTTTCTGTCTCATTGTTTCTGTTGTATTCTCACTGGAAAAAAGAAAGCCTCGTTTCCTCACTCTAGTCTCTGTATCGATGGCTTCGCGGTGCCGTCTACCCTTTCTTCATCTTCCTTTTTTTATCCCATCCTTTTTTTTTTGTGTGTGTGTGTGTGTACACGCGTCGGGGCCACTGCATGTGTAAAGAATGTGCGCGACGGCCCCAAGATGTGGATGATGGAATCCCTCCCCTTTTTCTTTATGGTTCTAGACGCTCTCTTTTTGTTCTTGTTTTTTTTTTTTTGCTTTTGACTTCATTGTTTCTCTTCTGCAAGCCACAGGCGATGATCGGCTTTGTGTTGCCTTTTGTCCCTCTTTTCGTCTCTGCTGAAGTGCTCTGAAGTAGTAGCAGTAGGGAAGCAGAACGGGTATATATCATGTTCCGTGCGTCCCGTGTGACACGATCCTTCTCCCAGGAGGCATTCCACCGCATGAGCAAGTACATCAAGAGCCGAAACCCCAACGAGAAGTACCTGCGCACTGGGCACATTGTTCTTGAGACTCTCAAGAGGTACCATGCATATGTGCTGGCGTTAGCCTTTATTCTGAGCGTAACGTGCTACGAACAACTGAAGCACCCAGAGAAGGTGCGGACGCCTGTCCACGATGGACGCTCACTTGTCCTCTAGTCAACGAGTCGTTTATGCAAGCACGGAGAGAATGGATTGGGAAACAATGGAAAGGAAGAAGAAGAAGAAAAAGAAGAAAAAAACAGTTTTGAGTTTCCTACTTCCACAAACCATGCCGTGGGCATGAAACCAGATGAAAGAAAGGGCGGGTGGGCTATTAGGGGAAGCCCAATGATATTTGGTGCCATTTTCGGTCTTTTTTTTTTCCTTTCTGCCCCATCAAGTGCACGCGCTACATTGGCGAAAGGAGCAGGATCAGCGGAGGGTGATTGTTATGGGTCGCCCTCTCGCAAGCACGAAGTCGGCGAAGAAAGGCCACTCGTCGGCGCTGGCAACATCGTCATTGCCGTCTTCTTCAGCGTCACTGAAGCGGTTTGCTGAGCTTATCCCCCTGGACATCGACATCGAGAAGGCGCGACAGATCACACTTAAAGGGAAACAGCTGGCTAGTCTTCCTCCCAACTTGGGTGTGCTGCTGCGCGAGGTGCGGCGAGTTGATCTCTCGGAAAACAACCTCCGCGATGTTGCGCCGCTCGCCGTGCTGCACCACCTCACCTCTGTGAACTTGTCTAAGAATCCGCAGCTGTCTTCCATCGCGCCGCTTGCCCCCCTGCGACTGACGGTATGTGTCGTGGCGCACTGCAGTCTGCGCTCCCTCACCGGTCTCGAGGGCAGCGCCCCGACACTCAAGTCCCTCGTTGCAAACGATAACGAGTTAGTTCTTCAGTCGCCCACAGGGTGCGCCGTTGCGAACGCGAAGACCGATGATGTTGCGGTGGCGGTGCAGAACTACGAGGCGTTAGGCGCGCTTACCGCATGCGAGACAGTGGTGCTGTCACGCAACCCTCAACTCTGCGCTTTGTACGCCACCAAGGAGACAGACGAGGAGGCGAAGGAGGAAGAGAAGGACAATAATAATAACAACAACGACTCCGGCGGTGACGGTGGTCACGACAAAAGGAAGAGGAAAGGCTCCTCGAACGAAGCGCCACACCGAGAGGCGGACTGGGCACACCCGCTCTCCGTCCTTGAGAAGATGCCGCACCTCAAGAAACTCTCGCTCAGTGAGTGCGGGTTGGTCTCGCTGCCCTCCCACTGGTTTCTCCCGATGGTAACAGAGCTGCGGCTGAGCCACAACTCGTTGCAGAGCCTTCTCCCGGAGGGTGTCATTTTTCGCTCGTTGAAAATACTTGACGTTAGCCATAACACCCTCACGCATCTCTCGACGTTGCGCCGGTGCCGCTTCGTTCGACAGCTAAGCATCGTTGGCAATCCGTTTCTGAAAGACGATGATGCAGCGCCACCAACGGAAGGTGAAGAGACACCCACAAGTTTGAGAGTGCCTCCCAGAGTTGTGCGGTATCTCACACGAGTGATGCCGTACTTGGAGGTGGTGGATAGCAAGCCGCTGTCCTCACTTCAGTCAAGTGACGCAGTTGAGGAGAGTCATCATTCGGAGGATATAACTGCGGGCAGCAAGGCGGCTAAGGATGCTACATTGAAGCAACAAGAGGACCAGCCTGCGGAGGACAAGGATGTCGTGGTGGAGCCACCTGTATCAGTAGTGGAGACGGTGCGGGCGCCGATTGTGCGGCGAGAGCGCACGAACATGCTGACGCAGCGGAAGCGGGAGCTGGCGGCTGATGGTGCTGCGGTCGCTCAGCTTATGATGAGGCGGAAGACTGAGGGCGCGAGCTGGTAAACAGAAGAGACGAAAAGAATAAAAAGGAAAAGTACTGCTGCTTCTGCAGCACTGTGGTGGTTGCAGTGTGAACGTTTAATTCCTTCCAGAAGATCAGCATCTGGCGTGGACTGGCTGTGGTCCTCGAATGACTACGTCTTCTCCATCGTTTCCCTCCACGGAGGTTAGAGAGGTTGGCGAGCTTTCTTTGGTACAACGTTTATGGCGTTTGGCTTTTTTTTTTTCCTTTTGCTCTTCTGGCTGTTGCTCCTGCCATCAAAACTGAAAGGACTGGGTAGTGGCGTCCGTCTGTGAGTAGCGGTGTGGGCGTGTGTGGTTCTGAACAACGTGTGCTTCAGGGCCACCGGGAGCAGGCGACACGAGAAGCACGATGAAGGAGAAGCTGCAGAATGCGAGCCGCGAGGAGCTGATGCAGCATGTTCTCACACAACGCCTGCTCATACGCCACTTGCACCGGCGTATCGTCGATCTGGAAGAGGCGCTTGGCGTTTTCCACGCACCAGGCTCTCGTGGGGCATCAGCCTTCGCACCAACACCACCAGAAGCAACGCCGTTGCCTTATCGATCCCCCGCGCCTCCGCCGGCGCGAGCCTCGCCGGAGGGACTTTTGGAGATTGACCGCCTCTTGAAAGCGCATGCGGCGGGCGAAGTGCGTCTTCGTCCTGAAATTGTATCGGAACTCCTGTACATCGTACGGGAGCTGAAGGATGCGGGCGCCAGTGAAAACAGCGTTTGCTCCTCTGGAACGTTTGTCGCCCACACGACGCCACCCCGTGGCTTGTCGAATTCAACGAGAGCTCCGGCGGCCTCAGCTGGTCTCGCAGGTGGGGAGACTGCGTTCACCACACCACTGCAACGTGCTGAATGTAGTACACCTCGGCGGTGCACGCCGCCGGCCTCTCTGGTCAAACGGACGCAGGCGCGATTGGAGTTGCAGGATTGACTCGGTTCAATCCGATGCTCTCCTTCCATTTATGTGTGCCCTCTGTGTGCCTGTCACTGTGTGCAAGTCTGTCCCTGGGTTTTTTTTTCCTTTTACTTCCTTTCTTCAACCTGCAGGGTTTCTGCGGCCTGATCCCTGAATTACCTGCTCTCTTCTTTATACTGTGTTCCTCTTCCATAGGTGGATCGCCAATGAATTTTGTCATTGTGGATGGCAGCTGGCCTGTTGCTCCATGCGTGCTTCCACGCTCACGTCTGCTCGCACACGCAGTGAAGGATGCCAGCGACGGTGGCGACAGCGCCCGTTTGGTGATTCAGGGACGAACACTGCTGACGTTGTGCCAGCAGCTGGTCGACGCCGTCGCTGTGAAGACGAAGTCTGCTCTTGACCTCACAACGCTAGCTCTTGCGGTGCTGCGTGACCTACACGATGACCCACTCAGTGCCGTCTGTCTGGTGACGCCGAAGTGTGTTCATCATCATATGTTCGCGCTCGAGGATCTTGTGGGGTCTGCACGCCTGGTCGTCTTCACCTCGCGCTGGGAATCTCTCAGCTCCGCGGCCGCACTCTCTAGAGCTAAAACAGCACGCAAAAAACGTGAGGAGTCACCTAGCGCAACGCGGCGCCGCGTGGAGAAGAGTGGTAGCGACAGCCGTGAGGTGTCAGGGTCGCGGCCCTCGCCTCTTCCAGGACGGGGCACTACTGGCATGCAGAAGTCAACGCGGGCGGAGACATACTTCACTAAAGTGGGCTTGGCGACGCAGAGTGACCTGGATGCGGTAAATCGGCTTCTGTTGGCGGGTACAATCCAGTTAGATCCCCGCATGGAGTCCTTCCTTTGCACTGTGTGTGGAAGGCTGCCGCGACAGACTGTGACAGCGTCCTGTTGTGGCGCTGTGCTGTGCGCGGGGTGTGCGCCGATGCCGCTGAATTCGTCGCTCTCGTCGGTCCTCAGCGAGCGATCCGTCTGCGGTGTGTGTGGTGAGACGCCTCTCACAGCCCCCGAGACTCAGACAAGCCGCGATGCGGAGGTGATGCGGCTGGTGCGTGAGCTTCGTGTGCTGTACCACCCGCAGCTGAGCGCTGCTGCGTGTCACGACTTGCCGGAAAAGGAGCCTTCACGGGTGCCGTTCGTGCTGCAACATGCGGGCGTGCCGCCCCCGCTGTGTGACATGAGTGGCCAAAGTAGCAAGCCGGTTCTCGGGCCCATTTTTCCTAGTCCGTCCTAGCGTGCAGCTGCCTTTTTTTTTTGTCGTTACGCCAACTGCACCTGCTGCTGTTGTCTTGCTTCTTCCCACTTACTCAATGACACACCGCGCTATTTAAATCACCGTGAGAGTTCGCCTGTCATTCGAGTTTTCTTTTTTTTTGCTCCTACTTTCTGTGTATGCGCATCTTTTCTTTGTGGTATATCTTGGCACATGTAGCGATGCGATTATTGCGGTTGGCTGCTCCCTCAATGAGGTGCAATGGGATCGTTTTCTTTGCTGTTGCACCCATATCCTCGCTGAGTCGACGCAGCACAACTATAGGTGCCGCCGCACGCGCCCAATCTGCACCAAAGGCACCAGCGGTGAGCGAGAAGGCGCGAAGCCGCGACGCTGACCCCGCTGGATTTTTTCGCTTTGCTGCGCCCGCTGTAGTTCATGTGCACACTCTTCCACGGGGAAAAACTTCTGTTAGGCGAAAACAGGGGACGCACCGCGTGGCCGCCTCCACCGCTTCGCCACCGCAGTCGAAGCCTAATGAATACAGAAGAAACGTCAGTGCCACTGCCACCCCCAGCAGCAACAGTTCTGGCGGAACGGCAGTCGAAAAAACACCTCTACGTTCACAGGGCCGTTACTTGACTCCCGCAGCGGTCAACCTGCCGGTGAGTCAAGACGGTGCGTGTGTTGCTGGCAATGTCTCCGCCACGAAAAGTCAGAAAAATGGCGCTGCCCCCCTAAAGTTGGCGAATATGCGTATTATTCGCCTGTGCTGAGCAGTCAGCTACCCCTTTCCTCAAGTTCTTTTTTACTTCACAGTTCATGGCTTCCTTTTTTTTTGACCACAGAGCTCTTTTGTTGAAAGTGCACGGCTGATAGAGGCTTCTGCTTTTTGGAAGGCGTCTGAGAGAGACCGTGATGAGCCTTTCCCTTGCATTTTTTTTTTGTCTTTCTTTCTTTCTTTATTTCTTCCTTCGGTCTCTCTGTATGTCTGTCTCTCTCTCTCGCTCGCTGCCTCCCTAACCTCTCAGCGGCAGTCTTTTTATGGGAACTAGGCGTTTTCTGACGGGAAGATGGATGCATCTCCTTTTGTTGACCCAGTTACTGCAGTGCCAAATAAAAGTTGCACGAGACGAGGAAAGCGGCTGCGGCAGCAATGTGTAGACGAGGCAGTTGTGGCCGGAGTTGCGGCTGGTCCGGCGGCTCTTTTCCGGCTGCCGGCGGGAAAGCTATCGCAGTGGCTTGCGTGTCCACCATGCCGCCTTCACGACGTGCGCCCTTTCTGTGGTGGTGATGCTGTTGGATCGCACATGGCGCTGCAGTACGCCGTTGTGCCCAGTTTCTTCGCATCGCAGTCAACGGCTGCGACTGCGGTGGGGCCGCAGATGAGTGGTGGCTCACGGGTTCTGCGAGACGCCATCTGCAAGCCGCCGCTGCGACATGTGTTGGGACGCGCCCTTGAGGTGACGCGTCAGTCGATGGGTGCTGTGGACGACATCTCAATCGACTCGCTTCTGATTGTGGCCTTTGCCACAACTCCCCAACCGCGTCGTTTGAGCTGCAACCGCGGCGCCGTCCCTTCTGTTGCCGTGTCGAGTCGTGCGCAACAAAGGCTTGAAGTTGTCGGTCTTTGTGTGTGTCGTGAGCTTGGTGTGGCGTATCGCATGCACTCCGGGGCGATACCAGCTGTGGAGGTGGGTTGCCGGAGGCCAGCGGAGGGCACGCAGCGGTGGGAGCAGAGCGTGACGCAGGTGGGCGACACTTGGTGTGTGGGGTCTTCCTTCTGCGGGGTACAGTTCTTATGGGTCGCCGAGCGACATCGTCGCTGCGGCATCGGCAGAATGCTCGTTGATCTAGCGCGCCAAAGTGTTTCCTACGGCTTCGAAATACCAGTGGAGCATGTGGCCTTCGCAGAGCCGACAGCGCAGGGAAAACTGTTTTTAAGGGACTACGTAGGGCGCCCCGATTTTCTCATATTCTGAGGCTTTGCAGGACTCCGGGGCGTTAACTGGAAGACAGACCAGAGAAGGAGCTGATGCCCTTGTCGTTCTCCATGTGCGTAAACACTCTTTGACGTTTCATTTTTTTTCTTGAGATTGTATATATATATATATATATATGTCTGTCTGTGTGTGCGTGCGTCGAATAATGGTTAACGAGTTCTGTTTTTTCTTCTTCTGCGCTCCTCTGCGTCAAGACTAATAGGAAAGCAAAAAGAAACATCTCGTATTGACTACAACAACTTGCAAAAAAATGAAGCCAATGACGCCGAAGTCAGCGTGCAAGGCGGCACCCAGTAAGGCGGCACCAAGCAAGGCGTTGCAAGGTAAATTGACACCGACTAAGATGTCATCAGCAGCTCATGTGTCGTCAAGCAGGCCGTCAACGGGAAAGACACCACCAAGCAAGACGGCGTCAAGCAAAGCGGTAACAAGCAAAAGCCTTCTGCGGGATCTGGAAAAGTTGAGCTCCCAGAACCGATGGAGGCGAGTTGTGGAGATGGGGCGTGTGGCGAGCGCCGGTGGGGACGGTTGTGAAGAGCTGAAGCTCCTCATATCATTCTCACAGTCGAGTATCCCGTACGAGCGTATGGTTGCGGCGATGGGGCTGAGGCAAACTGCTTGTGTAACTGAAATTGAAAAGCTGGCGAAGGATCCGTACGATTGCATCGCTTCGCTCGCCATGATGCCAGTGGCAAAGTTGTTGCCGAATGAAGCTCTGCTACGCCTTTTTGATGAGTTGCCGCAGTGGCGACTATCAATGCTTTGCAGCCAACTCGAGCGCGAAGGTAAGGTCCCGATGCTGGTTGACTCTTATCTCACCAATGCGACACCAGAAGCTAAGAATGGCCCAGCGCTGCGGCTCTTATGTTGGGCGTCGGGTGATGTGTTGGCTGCGCAGTCCTGTAGTGCCCTGCGTTGTCTGACCAAGAAAGAATGGAAAACGCTAACACGGCGGTGCCCAAACTTTGCATCGACGTTCGTGCAGAACGAGATAAAGAGCGGTGTGGTGTCTGGGGGTGCGGCGACACGGGCGCACGTGGTGCTCCGCGCGATGCGGCGCCACCATCCGTCAGTCGGTGTGAAGCTACTCGAGGCTGTCCTGCAGCGCACCAAAGTGGAGTCGTCGTGCCTGGTGGAGTACGCCCGCATGTACCCCGCCGTGGTGGCGGAACTCGTACTGAAGCACAAGGTGCGGCGTGCGTTCGAGGGCTGGTCGTTCCTGAAGAAGTTAAGCCCTGAGGTGCTTCTCCAGCTTTTTGACGAGAACGCGCTGTGCTATGATGATTTCACGGATTTCTTTGTAAACTCCACGCGGAATGTGCGGGAACTGCTGTACGTGCAGCGCCGCCAGAGTCTGCTGCAGAGCAACGGCGCGATACATAGCTACGCCATTGAGTGCATCCCCGCACGTGAGGATCGTGATCGTGAGGCGTTGCGTGCACTGACAGAAGTGGAGGAATTGCGCCTGGACCCCCGCGAATGGGTGGCGTACCTTTCTACGCTGCCGTTCCCTCGGGTGTCGGGGTTGGGCGCGCAGCACCTCCGCAGCCAAGACGTACACATCCGCGCCGCCGCGTGTTGTGCCGTCGTGAAGGGTGGGCGCTTCTACGAGGAGCACCTCGACGACGTTCTTGACTTCTGCGTCGCACGTGTCAATGAGTGCGACCCTGTGCGGCGAGAAATCATCTTCCACCTCTCGTGCTTGCCGCCGAGCCGATGGAAGAAGCATCACATGCCCAAGTTGTTGTCGATCATCGAAGGTGCGTGCGACGCCAAGGATGTCTCGGGCGGTACGCTCGAGTGGGCTGTCTCGTTGGTAATGAAGACGGCGCTCTTCGATCATGAACTGATCGATTCGACACTACTGAGTCTGCTGCGGCGTGATGCCAGCATTTCGGATCTGGTGGCCTCCGCGCTGCCGAAGTCCACTGTTGCACACATGTGGTCAACTCTGCTTCCATGGATGACTAAAAAACTCGAAAAGGAAGACAATTACGATCTGACCCGCGTTTTGTACAACTTTGGTTCACGCTTGCGTGACGTGGAAGAGAGTGCTGTGCCGTTCCTAAAGCGTCTGTGTGACTCCTCCAGCCCGGAACTGGTGGAGTTTGGCGTGACAGCGCTGCTGGAGTACTTTCGCCCCACAGCGCTGGCGATGCTGCCTGAACGGCTGGCAGCGTCGCCAGACTGGATCAATATCAATGGGGTGCGAGATGCCGTGAGCGTATCCCTCCCAGGAGAGGTGCTCGAAAAGTACCTTGTGCCGCAGCAACTGCACGGGCGTTTTGCGGGGGGCAAAACGGCAACGCTGCCCGTCTTCAAGGACGGGTACCGCTGGACTGCGTCAAAACAGCAGACGTACGCAAAGTCCATAGCCAACCTTTTGTTACATGATGATCATAAGGGCATGTACGAGAGACCGATGATTTGTGCTTTGTCTGTTCTGTACAGCGGCAATGTGATGGAGGCAATCAGGCCATTTTTCGCGGAAGGCTACAAGAGAGCGTACCTGCGGAAGATGATGCTCGATCTCCTCGGTTCCTTGCATGATACAGCATCGATGGAGTTGCTCAAAAGTTTTCTCGACGGCGAGCATGCGTCCGACGCTGTCTACGCAATTCGGCGGCGTATTCGGGGCCTCCCTCCCACGGAGGTCGTTGAGTTGCTCAATAAGGCAGCACACTCTAAGAAGGTCTCAGTCCAGAAGGAGGCGGTTCGCATTATTGGGGACGTTGGCGGTGAGGATGTGTATGTGTTCTTACGGAAGCTGCGGCAGGAGACGAAGTTACACACCGATGTGGAAATAGCATGGCTGCGTGCGATGCAGGGCTTCGTGGAGAAGCGTGAGGTGTGGAACTATTTCTACGATGCAGCCAAGAACAAAATAAGCGCGCTGGCGGTTGCCGTCGCTACTGTCGTCCCTGAGGATGCACTCGAGGAGGAATGGCAGCACGAGAACATTGCTAAGCTTTTACTGTTGCTGCTGTCTCACGAGGATCCCTCCGTGAAAATTGCCGCCCTCACGCGACTGTCAAAGTCTCCCCTGCGCTACCACAGCCCGGAGGTGGTGGGGAAGCTGTACAGCATCCTGCAGTCAAGCACACAGGGGGAGTTTCTTTCCCTAACGCTGCACGCGTTGATTGTCTCTCACGTCGAGCCCTCCGACATCGCCGCATGTGTTGCAAATGTCCCGAAGGATCCATGGCTGTCGGATGTTGCCGAGGTGCTTGAAACTTTGGGACACACTGTTCATGAACGTGTTGGGAGTGTCACTGTCGAGCTGGTGAATACGTTGCTGCAGAATCGCCGCCAACCGGCAGTGGCGTGCCGTCTCATTTGCACCCTCCCCGCTGAGCGGCTTGGCGAACTCCTGGAGAAGGTAGATCAGAAGGAACTTCTCCACACAGGAGCTGCACTCGCCGTGGTGCGGCACCTACGGTTTACAGTAAAGGGTGTCGCCGCACTCAAGGATGTGGAGAAAAAGTTGCGCAATCATGAGAACTCGTGCATGCAGCGCATCGGGCTCTCGTTGCTTGTTGGAATCGCGTCAGTGACGCAGTGGGACACGGGGTTAAAAGATATACTCGAGATTTACTGCCAAGCATCGGACCAATGGGTGAGTGATGAAGCAAAGTTGGTACAACTGCCGCCACAGTC